GCATGGTCAAGAGAAAAACCAAAACCAAGCTGGGATTAGACAGTTGGAACTTTCTGCTCCACCAATGCCCCTCACCTCAAGCCCTGCCCTACCTTTGAGAGGGGAGGGGGACTGGAGATTGAGTTCATTCACCAACAGTCAATTATTTCATTAACCCTGTCTAGGTAATGAAACCTCAAAAAACAAAAAAAACAACCCCAAGCAACAAGGTTCAGAGAGCTCCTAGACTGGTGAATAGATTGAAGGTGCTCAGTGGGTGGTGTACACAAAGAGGGCATGGAGATGTGTATCCTTTATAATAAACCAATAATAGTAAGTAAAATGTTTTCTCTAGTTCAGTGAGTCATTCTAGAGAATTACTGAAACTGGATGAGGTTAAGAGCAGACTAGAGATAACAGAGGAAGAGTCATCTGGCTGACAACAGATCAAGAGAAATGATCCAATTGAAAAATATAGAGAAAAAAGAAAATTAACAGAGTTTTGGGGACTGTGGGACAATAACAAAAAGTCTCCCATAAATATAAGTGGATTTCCAAAAGGCAAGGAGAGAATGAAAGAGAAAGAGTATCCGAAGAAATAATGGCAGAAAGGTCCCCAAATTTGGTAACAGATATTAATTCCCACATGCAAGGTCAGCAAACCCCAGGCAGGATAAGTAGAAAGAAAATCACCACTACGCACACCATAGTCAAACCATTTAATTTCTTCAAAGTATACATGATTCTTCAAAGCAAAAAATCGTAAAATTACGTTAAGGGGTTCATAACTCACACAGCTATAATACTTATGGAATCTTTACGATAAAGGATGGGGAAGGGGAGAAATGGGCATATATGGTTGAAGTAAACAGTATGTGAAGTGGTGCAATATTAAGTAGACTGTGAAAAATTAAACATACATATTGTAATCACTAGTGCAACTACTAAAAAATAATGCAAAGAAGTAGTACAGCTAAAAAGGCAATAGATAAATTAAAATGGAATTCTAAAAATATTTAAGTCAAAAGAGCAGAAAAGAAGGAAAAGAGAAACAAAAAACAGGGGAATAGAAAACAAATACTGTAATAAAGTGTTCTAAATCCAAACATGTCAATAATTAGCTTAAATGTTAATGGACTAAACCCTCCAATTAAAAGGGAGGGGGTGTCATAACAAATTTTAAAACATATGCCTCAACTATATTCTCTCAACAAGACATTTTAACTATAAAAATACAGATATTTCATGCAACAGTAAGCATAAAGAGGCTGAAGTAACTATACTAGTAGATAAAGTAGACTACAAGACAGTAAGTATTACCAGAGATAAAGAGGGTTATTTCATAACGGAATTAGGGCCAATTCATAAGAAAGACATAACGGTCCTAAGCATGCACCTAATACCAAAGTCTTTCCAACAGTCCATGAGACCTGGTACAACCATATCTTGCTCTGCCAGCTTCGCCCTCCACACACTCTTTCCTACTCCTTTCCTTTCTACAACTCATGTCATCCTCTCCATCCTCAGGGCCTTGGCATCCCTTTATTCCTGCCTTACCTCTAAATTTTACCTTTTACCTCCAGCTTTTACCCTGAGTCCTTTTCCTTCTTAATGTCCTACCCTAAATGTCACTTGCTCTAAGAAGTTTCCCTTGATTACCCCACCCCTCAGACAAGGAGGCGGAGATGTACCAGGTGTGCTACCTTCCCCTTCTGCCCTTCTCAGTACATCAATTACTAACTCATGTCTATTTCTTCTGCTGTATTATACTCCTAGAAGGCAGGGCCATACATTTTTTCTAACCCCAAGGTTCAGGTAATATATGTGTAATTAAAAAGTCTTGGTTAAGGTTCTGAAACTCATCTTTTGGGTTTTAGAACTCATAATCTGGAGTAACTGATCTTCTGGATGGGCTGAACTGAGAATACAGTAACGAAACAATTTTTCCCCTCCTACTGTCCTCACGTATGCTCTGTCAGTTGGATCTCCTTCCCCTCTCTCCTGAGACACATCTCAGGCAGACTCCACAGTCTTTCAGTCATTTTGAGATATTCAAGCACAAACTCACTTCAGGTAATAAGATGCCTAATCCTGCTCATCAGTGCTGCCTACGGAGGTGGCAGCCATCTCCTACCAGCACTGGGGCTGCCCTCAGACCCCCTGTGAAACCCAAGACTGTCAGAAAGAGGAGTAAGGAATTCATCCGGCACCAGCAGATGGGTATGCCAAAACTAAGCACAACTGGTGGAAACCCAGAGGTATTGACAAAAGGGTGCACAGAAGATTCAAGAGACAGATCTTGATGCCCAGCATGGGTTATGGGAGCAATAAGAAAACAAATCACATGCTGCCCAGCTGACTTTGGAAATTTCTGGTCCACAGCATCAGGGAGCTTGAAGTGCTGTTGATGTGCGACAAATCTCACTAAACTGAGATTGCTCATGTCCCGTCAAAGAATTGCAAATCCACTGTGGAAAGAGCAGGCAGCTGACCATCAGAATCATCAATCCTAATGCCAGGCTGCACAGTGAAGAAAAGAAAAGACAGGTTGTATACACATTGTATTTGTTAATAAAACCATAAAATTAAAAAAAAATTGTCCAATCTTGTTGAAATCAAAACTGCTTCCTTGCTCTTCCACTCCTCTAACATCAAGGTTGTTTCTGGCCACTTCAGAGCTGAAGTAAGAGAGCCAATGAGATAACAAGGGGAATTTAATTTGCCTTTGCTTTTGTATATAGCTGATGCTCTTTGTGATTTTTGGCTTCATCCTAATGCCTGCTCGTTTGTGGGAGAGTTCAGTGGGCCCTTCAGGTACCTCCACTCCACTGCGCAGAGGCCTAACGCAGGTCAGTGCTCTCCTGCTGACTTCTTGCTGCATCTCCAGCCTCTCTGTTGGGATTCTTCCTTCCTTCATAGGCGAGGTCCCTTTAGATGGCTCGGCTACCCTACAGAGAGTCTATTTACCCCACCAACTGGTGGAAGTGTGACCACTACAGCTGCTGTTCTCCCATATTCAACCAGCCATCAAGACTCGTTTCAAGGAGGAAGCAGATAGCATTCTCCCTGACCCTTAAATTCCAGGTAACATGCCAGCTTCTCTTCCCACCACCTGGATGGCAGCTGGAGTGGGCTGACACGTTTCTACTGTTCAACAGGCTGGGACACAGGCTCCCATTTCTCCTGAGCCTGTACCACAATTCTCTCCATGACATTCACCTGAAGGGTCCCTTACTTGGCTTGAGGCTGGGAAGGATAGGAAAAGCCACAGCATTCTATTCTTGTGAATGCTTTTTAAAGAATCTCTTCAGGTGATACCCTCACCATTACTCCATCACGTTCTCTTTGATAAGCCTGAGGTGGGTGATGGAGCTGAAGGTCCAAGGCCCATTCTGGCCATCTCCTAAGAATCTCTGCTTTAGACTGTGGGGAAATGCGTCACCCCTTGTTCTCTACTCTGAGGCATTAGAGGCAATTCTTAGACACAGATGAAGGCCTGCGTCATAGCCAGTTACACCTGTCAACCCCATCCCCTGATCTAGCTTAATGTCAAGAATTTGAAGATGCAGAATGTTCAGGAATGTGTAGGAGATAAGAAATGTCTTAAAACTCTGCTTCTCACACTGGAAGATACAGACAGATAGACATTAAAAGTTATACGCCTATCTTGAACATCAATTTTTATGTTTAAACACACATACACACACACAGTGGAATAATACTCAGCCATTAAAAAGAATGAAATCTTGCCACTGTGGCATGAATGGACGTTGAGGAGAATATACTGCTAAGTGAAATAAGCCAGAAAGAGAAAGACAAATAGTATATGATTTCACTCATATGTGGAATCTAAAACAAACAAAATAAAAACAAACTCATAGATACAAGGAAAAGACTGGTGGTTACCAGAGGAGAAAGGGGCTGACGGGTGGGCAAATAGGGTAAAGGGAGTTCAACTGTGATGGGCTACTGCCATGATGATGGACACTAACTAGACTTTCGGGGTAATCGCTTTGTAGGGCCTACAGATACTGAATTATAACGTTGTACACCAACGACTTATACAATAAACACACACACACAGATCTATATTATGGGATAAAATGCAAAATTTTGAGGGGGGAAATCAAGACCTTTTAAACAAATTATTGAGCTCACTGTCAACTACTTCATCTATAGACTTTACGGGTGGTATATAAATAAGTTTGAGAACTTCTTGAGGAAACTTTTATTGGGTAGTTGGATCCTACAAAAATTGGGGTATCCTTCTGGAAGTCCTCAGGAACGCTTTTGAGGCAAATGGAGGAACACTGTAGAAAAAGTAGGTCACCCTGACTGTTTCACAAATCATCTGAGAGAAGCTTCATAAACCTCCCCTTCAATATGAAGAATGAAGAACGGAAGACGAAGAGGGTGAATCCAGCAGGGCTAAATACTCTGAAAAAAGCAGGTCTGGATCTCCAGATCAAAGGTCAAATGCCAGAGATTTTGTTTGCCTATGGCTTTTTTGTGCTTGTTCTTTTGAAGATTACCTGAGCTAGGAGTGCTATTTCTGTCTGTCCTACAGGCTGAGCTGCCTGTAGCCTCCAGGAAAAAACAAAACAAAACAAAAATCCCCCCTGGAAACAAAAGCACCAAGTGTTTGGAAGGAGCAAATAAGGGGACTGCTATGAAAGGTGGCCTCAGAAGACCCAGTGGATGGAATTACATTTGATGGTAAAAGGGAATCAGGCAGAAACAAAGGCTGGAGGCCAAGACCTGAAGACCTGAAGAGAAACCTTAGGAAACTAACAGTAGGAGGACCTTATTGTTCCCTAGCACAAAACAAAATGAAGCAGCCTCCAAACAGTGACTTAAGACCTCTATGAAGAATATGACTGCACTGGTAGGGAACATCTCATCTCACTAATTTAACCTGTGATTTTCCCAAGAGCTCATAGTTTTAGTATATACCTGTTTTTCCTTCCAGTGCTGTTCAGAAACGTACCAAGCTGCATCTGTCATTTTAGTACAATGCCTACCTTTCTTAAGAATCTTCTTCACTTTCACATAGTTTCCTTGTTTGACATACTCATGAAGCTGAGCTTCCAAAGAGTCATCTCGTAAGGAACCAAGCTGAACCGGACAGGGGATTGGAAGATGAACAGCCCGAGACATCCTGTTTCCAAAAGAAAGCAACATGCTTATTTTATTCTTTCACATTCACTTGGTTTTTTTTTTTTTAATTAAAAAAAATGTTTACACACATTTCTTTCATTTCTGCTCATTTTCATTTATCATGAACAGAATTAGGGGAACAATTGCTGAAATTCTACAAGATTAACATTTATTCTCAATGTTACTGTTGAAATTGAAGAACTGAATATATTTATTACTAACTCCCAGGACTAAAATAGTGATGACTACTAGGAAGTAAAATTAGAAATGAACACCTTTGCTGTATCATTAAGATAACTAGGAGAGTATTAACTCTGAAAGGTTAGTATGCAAATGCAATCATTATATAAGAATGCAGATAGTATAATGTTGTGGGTTGGGTTCACAGTTTAGATTCTGAAGCTCTGTCATCCCAGTATTGGGAAAATTATTTGACCTTAATAGACCTCAATTTCTTCCGCTGTAAATGGGGATAATAATAAATCAGACTGTTGCTGGGAGGTTTAAATAAGCTGATATGTGTGAACAGCTTAGAGCTGTGCCTGGCACCAAGTGAGCTCTCTGTGTTGTTAGCTGTTACTGTACATGATATGAACCATGCTAAGAAATTTTAACTTTTTTTTTAAAAAAAGATTTTATTTATTTTTAGAGAAAGGGGAAGGAAGGAAGAAAGAAAGGGAAACTTCGATGTATGAGAGAAACACTGATTGCACATCCCCAACCAGGGACTGGCCTGCAATCCAGGCACATGCCCTGACTGAATAGAACTGGAGACCTCATGGTTCGCAGGCCAGTGCTCCACCACTGAGCCAAATCAACTAGGGTGAAATTTTAACTTTTTACATGTGGCATCCAGACCTGACAAAAATACAATCACGTGTTTGCGCAACACCTATCATGTGTCTCAGATGTGACAGGTGCTATCTACGTTAAGACACCTAAGAGTGGGCTGCTGTCATCACAATGCTGTCTAGCTGGGCAGACAAGAGGCACCAAGTTGGTGCTCTACAGACAGTGGATAAGAGAAGGAAGTCACATCCACATGAATCAACAAAGATGTATATCAAGGGCATAGCTAGGTACTACACGGAGAGACAAAGAGGGTATGACATGAGGTGAAGTCGAAGGAAAAACCATGAAGGCTGACACATTCAGTAGGTCTGCGCTAGCCAGGGGGCTTTTAGGTTACTAAGAAGTAACATCTCCTTAATTTACCCACTGACAAAATGTGGAAAATGCTAATAACTTGAGTGTTTTAAATTTATTCCTTTTGGTATGTTAATATCCACATAAGTGACTAAAAAGCAGCATCCCAGTAATCCAGTAATCCCACAACATTCTTAAGCAGACAAAAGTAATTAAGAAAACACTGTTTAGTTTAAATATGAACTGAAGCTTTTATAGCAAGCCGTCATATCCTATCCCCATCTCTACCTCCCTTCTATTTCCAGGGATAAAAGATTGGTATATGTCTATTATCATTTGGATGTCTAATGGGGGCTGAATTGTACCCCCTATTCATATATTGAAGCCCTGACCTCAGAATGTGATTGCACTTGGAGATAAGGTCTTTAAAGAGGTGATTAAGTTAAAATGAAGTTGTCCTAACGGGGTCATAATCCAATATGACTGGTGTCCTTATAGGAAGAGGAAGAGACTTCAGCTTCAGGAGTGACTGCGAAGGAACCACTTTGTGAAAAAGGCAGTAAGAAGGTGGCCATCTGCAAGCCAAGGAGAGAGGCCCTGAAGAACCCAGCCCTGCTGGCATCTTGATATTGAACTGTGAGAAAATGAATTTCCGTAGTTTAAACCACCCACTCTACACTATTTTGTTATGAGAGCTGTTACTGAACTGGAAACCTCATGGTTCGCAGGCCAGTGCTCCACCACTGAGCCAAATCAACTAGGGTGAAATTTTACCCTATTATTTAGAAAAATAATACACTAAAAATAGCAAGTTATGTCATATGTCTTCATGAAAGGGGAACCAGTCTATAGTAACTATCTCCACGTCATTCATCCATTCAGTTGGATGGACTGCACCTGCACTGAGGGCCTGTTAATGTGGTGTTCTTCCCCATACTCCTGACATCGGGCTGCTGACAAAGTCCCCAATATCTTCTTACAACTAGACAAATCCAATGTGCATTTTCAGGCTCTGCCATACTGAAATGTTCACCTGTATGTGACAATGCTGCTTAATCTTTTAATGCCTACTTATTGTGATAAAATATATAACAAAATTTACATTTTAAACATTTTTAAGTATTTGATTCAGTGGCATTGAGTATACATAAACATCATTGTGCAACCATCCTTTTCCAGAACTTTTTTCATCTTCTCAAACCGGGACTCTGCACTCATTAAACACTAACTCCCCATTTTCTTCTCCTCCTCCCAGCCCCTGGCAACCACCATTCTACCTTTTGTCTATATAAATTTGACTATTCCTGATATCTCATATAAGTGGAAACACAGTATTAGTCCTTTTGTGACTGGCTTATTTCACTATGTCCTCAAGGTTCATTCACATTCTAGCATACGCCAAACTAGTATTTTATCTAATATCTTTTAAGGCAGACTAACATTCCATATGTATGCATACGCACACACCCCGTTTTATTTATTCATGCATCCACTGATGGACAGTTTGAGTTGACTCTACATTTGGCTATTTTAAGTAATGGCACTGCAAACAACCACATACAAAAATAACTCATCAACTGTATCTTCCATTTTTCTATACGTATCCAGAAGTAGGATTGTTAGATTATATGCAAGCTCCAAGTTTTACTTTTCTTGAAAAAATACCAGAGGTTTCCTCATTTCTGCACTCCTACCAAAAGGAAAACAAACTCCTACTTGCCCAAGAAATACCAATACTACTTTTAAGTTACAGTATCAGGAGAGAGCGCGTGATCACAGTGCCCCACCACCACAAACTATGCAGTTGAGTTTCCTGATCACAGTGCCCCACCACCACAAACTATGCAGTTGAGTTTCCCTCGCAGGAGTCAGCACACAGAGTGCAATGGGGAAAGCCTCCCCCTGAGAAAAACCTCCTTCATTATCATGGTACCTCTCCTAACCAGTATGTATGAGAGTTACCCTTGTTCTAGTTTTCACCATTGTCCTCAACACACTTTAAAATCATGGTTAATTATACTGCGAGTTCTATAGGCCTTTGATTGGCAACTGCAGTGTTATTTATAGGACAGAGACTAAAGTAGTTTTTTTGAATGCCCAGAGTAAATTCTGACCATGAATACACTCAGATCAGCAGGCACCGCTCTGCTCATCTACATATCCCCGCCTCTTGTTACTTCACCTCACTGATACTTGAAGTGGTTAAATTTGCTCTAGCTAGCCTGGCAACAATTTAGAAGACAGTTGTCAATGGGTAATTGGGGATAGTTTTCAATTCCTTGCCTTCCTGGGCACAGGTTCTGGCGTAGATCTGTTATGAGTCTGAATTCTGAGCTGCAGAGCAGGACAGTTGGGGAGGCAGAGGCCAGCGGCCAGCATCACTGGGGTTATGCCCGGGCTGAGTTCACAGCTCCACTCTGAGCCTAGACGCTACCCTCAGTCTCTCTGTCTCCATTTCCCCAAACTGTAAATAAAGCAGGAGTCAATGCTTGCCTACCTAACAAGGTTACTGTGAGGACTAAGAGAATGCATGTAAAATGCATCCTCAAGCCCCTTCAACCCTATCCAGGCCATTCCACTCCTGAACAGGTGTCCTGTGCAGATGGGGACCCAAAGCCGGCTTCCCTGTGATTCATCTGTAGTTGTCGGTGTGAAGGAAAACAGCGTTTGGCCTCACAATGGTAACAAACCAAGTGCTTCTCCCCTCTTTTTAGACAACAAAAAGAGATGATGTGTTTTTTTTCTGCGCCTTTGGCTTGGCAGTCTGGGCAAGACAACTCTGCAGCAACTATTGTACGAAAGGCTTTGCAGCTGTGTGCACAGGCAAACCTACCTCTCCCTTTCAAGGTCTCTGGTGGCCTAAGTATAAAATTGGCAGATACAGTTTAACAGCATAAAAGCATTCGTTATTTATTTAATGTAAGTTTACCTGACACAGGTGCCCTCATAAGAAAATGAAAACCTAAAGAAGTGGCAAAACCTAAATACCCTTCATGTTAGGTTGAGCAATGAGGCAATTTTAAAAATTAACTAATGCATGGGGAGGCTAAAGGTACATTAGAATTATTTTAACAAGGCCTGTTTGCACAGAATTTTCTGGCTTTGACTCCTCCTCTCTGGAAATGTTTCTTTTCCCCTGGTTATGGGCAACAATATCTCTTACATGGTAGGGTTATTTCCAGCTTTCAAGAAAATAAAAGAAAAAGTTCATCATATACATGCTGTCTCTCAAGTATCTAGCTCCCCGAGCTGGAGATAGTCTGGTAGATCGGAAGATTGTGAAAATAAAGAATACCTAACTTTGTTAGCAACTAATTCTAGTATCCATTCTCACTACTGAAAAAAAGTAAACTCCACCCACAACACTAACATTCACTAAATACAAATAACAGGAATTTTCACCCCTCTTGCTAAGAATTTCAGTATCTGTTTTTTGTACGTAAAAACCAGGGGAGAGCGCGAACGCAGTCCCCCACTACCACAAATTATGCAGTCGAGTTTCCCACATTTGGGGAAATCGCAGGGGTCAGCACACCCGGAGTGCAATGGGTGAGCCTCACCCTGGGAAAACCACCTTCTTGATCATGGTGTCTCCCCTGCCAGGTAAGTATGATTTGGTTTTGACCCGGGCAGCATTCACTGCCGGGCATACCACTGTAAGGTCCGGGTGACTCCTGAAACGACAGCAATTGTCCTTTATTTACATATCGCGAACAAAAAAAAAAATCAAGTTTTCATGCTATATCTTAATATTGGTAAGAGTGGAATACAATGCATGATTTCCCAGAAAACGCGGTTCCGGCCCTAAATCTGTAATCTACATACTCCACCTCCCAGGCATTACGTCACGCTCAACCCTGTCGGTCGGAGGGGGCAGCCGCGCACTTTAGAGATGGCTTAAGAAGATGGGTTCCTCCTCCCACTCGCCCCGACAAAAGTAAAGTCTGCCAGGATATTTTCCTAACAGAAACTTCCTCACACAACTTCCGCTGTAGCCGAAGGTCTTCGTATTTCCCCGAGTGCAGTCTCCTTGAGCAAACAGACACGAAGCTGTTTCAGCTGCGAGCCGGCCTTCGGCGGTCCCTAGAGACCAACGGTCCACCTCAGCTCCGCACCATTTCCTCCAAAGAGCAGATAATGGAGAAAGCCTGCCAGTGGGGTGTATTGCAGGAGTGAGGGTTTAGGATCCAAGATCTGGACAGCAATTCAGTGTTCACACTGCACGACTCTAGATAAGCTTCTAGCCTCTGGATCTATTCCAGCAGGTCCCATGGAATGAGGAGGAACTATCCAGTCCCACCCGTACCCAGCTCAGGCTTTGTCTCCTGCTCAAGGTCTGTTAAAACCTAACTCCCGGACTTTTGCGATGAACAGATGTCCTCCAGTGAATACACAGGGTCCACCTGCAGGGACTGGATAGATTTTTTTTCCTTCTTCTGATTTTTTGTATGTTTGTTTTTAAAAGGGTTCACATTCATTCCTGAACCAGTCTGCTAGCGCAGAAAGATATTAACAAAGAGAAAAATCATTCTTCCAATAATTTCCCAATAAAACATGCTGAACTGTCCAGTCAGTCATGATCTTTTCAGCGATACAGTAAGATGCAAACAACCAGGATACAGCATAAATATGTGACCCATCTCATGTGCCATTTCTTATAGACCTAGCATGGTTCTCTCCTTTTTGAATCATCATCCAAGTCCATTGGCTAATGGGCCGATTCTGTTTTTGTTTCTTGAACAGGAAACTCTTGATTCTGAAAGTCTTGTGAGAAGATGTGGAAGAAAGAGTCCAAAGTATGCACCACGATGGCAGAGAGGCTATGAGTTTCTTTTTTGCTAGATAAGTAATATATTTGAAAAACCTGTTATCGTGCTGTTTTATTTTCCCAGCATTTTATGTGTTTTGAACCAAGTAAATCTCTTGGCCTCCAGTCTACTTATTACAGGAGGGGTGTCTGTCTGACCTCTTGGTTCCTTTGATTCTACAGACTCTACATGTCATTTTACTCACCCCTCAGCCACCTTATCTGTCTCCCTTTACACGGAAGCACCGCACATTTCCTCAGTCTCTCTGGTTTGAGGTCCAACAGTCATCTCCTCCTCTACTTCCATTTCCTCAGCACTGCAGGAGGAAGCTGTAACCCTACTACTCCAAATTCATGCACTTGCAACCATGTCTTCACTGCTACTTGGCTTTCCTCTTACACATCTCTTAAATTCCCTCTCCCCTGCTGTTTCAAACCTGCACCTAAACCAGTGGTTCTCAGTGACTCTGCCACCACTTAAAGGAGTACTTTTGAAAATTTGTGGGAACTTTTTTTGTTTTCTATGTAGTCATGCCAAACATTTACATGTCAAGAGACTTTATTATAACATTATACTTTTTTAAAATCCTCATCTGAGGACACTTTTTCATTGCTTTTGGAGAGAGAAGGAGGAGGAGGGAGGGAAGGAAGAAGGGATGGGGAGAAAGAGAGAGAAATATCAATGTGAGAAACATCTACTGGCTACCTTCTTCTATGTGCGCCAACCAGGGATTGAACCTGTAATCTGGGCATGTGCTCTGACCAGGCGTTGAACGCACAACCTTTCAGTCTACGGGATGATGCTGCAACCAACCTAGCTATACCAGCCAGGGCATAACATTATACTTTTTATTTCTATGTTATATTAGAGTTATAAAATTATAACATTTATGGGAAAAGTATATGAAGCTTATATTTTCTATGAACATCTTCAGAAATAGTAAAGGGAGCATTACTATTTATTACAAAAGAGGACTCTGGGTTTGACAAAATTGAGAACTCTAACCCAATCACACCCATATATCTTTTTTACGGGAGTAAGTATAATTAAGCTTCTTTTTTCCCAAAAGTATAGTGAACTCTATCCTAACAGTGTTTCTCAAAGTACAAGCCATCACCATCTGCATCAAAATCACCCACTGAATCAGAATGTCTGGGGATAAGACCTGGGTGTGTGTGCTTTTAACATGCCCTCCAGGTTAATTCTTTTCCCCTGTCCTCCATTAAGAGCCTATTGAGAGTTTATTATAAATTTGTTTCACAGGCCACCAGGAAATAAAAGGACTATTTATAGTCAGGAAACAGGCAGGGAGCCGAGGAGGGCCAAGGTGAGTCAAGGGCCTTGGTGGGTGCATTCCTCGGGGGAGGGGACCCTGTAAGGGAAACCAGACAATGGATAATAGGTAATATTTCCAGAACAAAGGCAGGAGAAACAAACAGGCCTGTGGTAACATGGCTCTGAGGAGCCATGCCCTCTGCCTCTGTGGAGCAACTTTTTGTTTTTGTTTTAAATAACATATTTTTCTCTTTTATTTTTTAGAGAGAAGGGAAGGGAGAAAGAGAGGGATAGAAACATCAATGTGTGATACACTGATCTGTTGCCTCTCACGCGCCCCCAACTGCAGACCTGGCCCAAAACTGCAGACCTGACCGGGAATCAAACCGACAACTGACAACCTTGGTTCACAGGCTGGCGCCCAGTCCACTGAGGCACACCAGCCACGGCTGTGGAGCTACTTTCATAACTCTGTGGCCAAGGGTCAAAGAAGGCCTTGCATTCCTGGGGGAGGGGGCCACATTCCTGGAGGGGGCATGCCCACTACAGTTCCTTGTCCACGGGATACCCATGGGAGGCCTCATACCAGGAGGTGGGCCCATCATGCCTAGAGGGGTTACCTATTGGTTCATAGGTGGGGGAGGACACCCACAGCCGGGTGTGTACTGGGTTGAGGCCCCTTCAATAACTGGTTGTGGCAGCAGCTGCAGCAGCTGCAACAATGACTCTTCCTTGTGGGGTCATCACCTGTTGGGATGGCCCACCAATCCCACAAACTGGCCCAGCATGTCCTGCAGGGGCCTGGGGCATGGGAACACCAGCTGGGATTCCTCTGCCAGCAGCCCTGCTGATCCTTGGGCCCCCAGCAGCTCCAGCAAGTGGCACTCTGACAATGCCAGTATATTTGAGGAGGTCCCTTTACTGTCACTGAAACTAGGCTCTCCCTTTCAAGCAGCACCAGACTGAGGGCTCACTTCTCTTCTCTCCTCTTTCTGCTTGTTTTGAGTTCTTTGGCTTGATCTTCCTGAGTTCATCACAATCACATAGGATCAAAGTCCTATGCTTGTTGAAATCCTTGAAGGTGCCAAAGAAGATATGACCATGTTGTAGGATACACCTCATTGTGTAGTTGATGTGCTACAGCATCTTGCTGTTCTTGCCCATAGATGTTCTAGCCCATGGTGGTGGTTCTGATGGCTCCGATTCTCACTGGATTTGCCTTCATGGAGGCCTAGCCACCCTCCAGTAGCCCATTTCCCACCCCTACTACTAGAAATTTGCCTCCAGGTAATTCTTACACTCTGAGGTTTAAGAACCATTGGACCCTGCCCTGGATAGGTAGCTCAGTTGGTTCAAGCATCATCCTGATATGCCAAGGTTGTGGGTTTGAACCGAGGTCAAGGCACATACAAGAATCAACCAATGAGTATACAAATAAACGGAACAACAAACTCATGTTTCTCTTGTTCTCTCCCTCTTCCTCTCTCTCTAGAATAAATCAATAAATAAAATTCTTTAAAAGGCTTTTGACTCACATAGCCTTTCAGGTATATAACCACATCATAAGTCCCAGGCAGGTGACGTCATAGTTCCTCATCCTCAAATTTAAAAGAGTAAAGCAAGCCAAACAGGAACACATGTTTTGGGGTAAAAAAAGTTCTGATTTTAAAAGTCACCATTCAGCATTTCATCCCCAATTCCATGGGTTTTTGTATTAATTCTTGCAGGCTTTAAAAACTAATAAATATATAAACAGAAACATTGGGCTATATTCTTACTTTAAAGAATTAAGATCACACATGGGCTCTCTCCAGGTAGCTCAGTTGGTTAGAGCATCCTCCTGATATGGCAAGATATCATTGAGATTTTGGTTTGATTCCCAGTCAGGGCACATACAAGAATCAACCAATGAATGGATAAATAAGAATAACAAACTGATGATTTTTCTCTAAAGTCAATTAAAAAACAAAACCAAACCTGGAATTTATTCTAAACAGGAGAAAGTTCTAATAAAAAGGGCAGGGGAAGCTTACCAAAAAAGGTAATCTAAATAAACTACTTGAAAAATAGCGAAGGAAAAAAGTTTAAGAAAATGAAACAAATCATCACTGGCTGTTACCTGACAGTATAAAACAGAAAGACAACTATTCTTGTAACACAAGTTATTGGGGAGAGCACAAACGCAGTTCCCCACTACCACAAATTATGCAACTGAGTTTCCTACATTTGGGGAAAATCACAGGAGTGAGCACACCCAGAGTGCAATGGGTTAAGCCTCACCCTGGGGAGGCCACTTTCTTGACCATAGTTCTCCCCCTGCCAGGTAAGTATGAGTTAGCATTTTGGTCAGTCTCTAAACTCTTCTGTGCATACTTTTTATACACAGTCACTACAAAAGCCAGTACCCACAAGACCTATTTCAGTATCATTAGATACTTCGAGAAACAGAAGCTTTAATACTGCTTCTAATTTCTTCCTGACAGCTTCAGAATACCTGGCATTCCTGAAGATCGGAGCATGCACTGCATTTATCTGTATACACATCCTGTGCTCCATGACATCACTTCTCCTTGCATCCCCCTCCCCCACCATGTCTAGCTTATTTACAAGAAACTTTAACCTTTGCCTGGGAATTACAGGCTACAGCAACTGTAAATAAAATGCTTTGGAGATTTTCACACTAATTAAGGAAACTAGAGTCTTATGTTCTTTAGGAAACAACCCCTGCAGCTTCATAAACTTCTGTATTCAATTTCATTTTACCCACCATCCCCCATCCCCAAACAATTCCCTTGTGCCTAGACTAAAGCCCATTTTTCAAAGGAAATACCAACAAAATAGAAAAAATAATTGAAAAAAGAAGTTGGAGAGCTCATGCTTCCAGACTTCAGAACGTACTGCAAAACAACAGTAATAATGGTAGTACTGGCATATGAATGGACATATAGATCAATGGGATAGAACTGGAGAATCCAGAAAACAAATGCTTATAATGACCGTCAATTAATTTTCAATATGGGTGACAAAATAATTCAACTGAGGAAAGAAGACTCTTTTCAACAGTGGTGTTGGGACAACTGAATGGGACCCTACCTCACACTTTATTCAAAAGTTAACTCAAAACTTGCGGTGGTGCCCTGGCTGGCGTGGCTCAGTGGATTGAGTACCGGCCTGCAGACCAAAGGGTCGCTGGTTCCCTTCCCAGTCAGGGCAAATGCCTGGGCTGAGAGCCAGGTCCCCAGTAGGGAACATGTAAGAAGCAACCACTCACTGATGTTTCTCTCCTTCTCTTTCTCCCTCCCTTTCCCTCTCTCTAAAAATAAATAAAATCTTAAAAAAAAAAAAAAAAACTTGGGGTGGTGAAAATACAATATACAGATAATGTATGACAGAATTGTACATCTGAAAACCTACATAATTTTATTAACCAATGTCACCCTGATAAATTCAATTTTAAAACTAAATCAATAGAGTCCTCAATAATAAGACAATTAAAGCTTAAGACAAAAAAATGTGAATAGACATTTCATCAAAGATGATATTTGAATGGCCAATAAACATAGGGAAACACTAATATCATGAATACTTAGAAAATGCAAATGAAAACTACACTATACCTACTATAAAATGGCCATGATTCAAAGAAGCTGGCAATACTAACTGCTGGCGAGAATGTGGACAAACTCAGATGCTCACGCATTGCTGGCTGGAACACAAAATGGTAAAGCCACTTTGAAAAAGTTTGGCAAAATTTAATTTTTAATTAAAGTATAGTTAACATACAATATTATATTAGATTCAGGTGTACAACATAGTGATTCAACATTTATATTCCTTACTACATGATCACCACAATAAGTCTAGTAATTATCTGTCACCATAAGAAGTTATTATGATAATATTGACTAATTTCCTTATGTTGTACATTACATTCCTGTGACTTATTTTTTCAAATATAACTGGAGGATTGTACCTTTTATTCCCGTTTACACTTTTAACCCATCTCTCCACTTCCAGCAGTTTCTTAAAAAGTTAGATATGCACTTTACCAGATGACTGAGCCATTCTTCTCATTATTTATTTAGCCAAGAGAATGAAAACACATGTCTACATAATGATTTGTATGTGAATGCCCATAAAGACATTATTTACAATAAACTGAAAACTGGAAATAACTCAGGTATCTATCAAGAGAAGGACGGATATGCCCTGGCTGGTTTGGCTCAGTGGACTGAGCGCCAGCCTGAGAACTGAAGGGTTGCCAGTTGATTCTTAGTCAGAGGACACACCTGGGTTGCGGGCCAGGGTCCTGGCTGGAGGTGTGTGAAAGGCAACCAGTCAATGTATCTCTCACACATGGATCTCTCTCTCCCTTTCTCCCTCCTTTCCCGTCTCTCTACAAATAAATAAATAAAATATATTATTTTTAAAAAGGGAAGGACGGATAGACAATATGTGGTATATCCATATATAACAATATTATTTAGCAATAAAAAGGAAGAAAATAATGATAAATGTAGGAATATGGATGAACCTCAAAAACATTATGCTATGTCAAAGAAGTCAGACACAAAACACTATAAACAATATGATTCCATTTTGTAAGAAATTTTACGACAAGGTTAAATCTACAGAGACAGAAAGTAGATCAGCTGATGGCTAGGGCTGGGGAATGGGAACTAGGAATGAATGAAAATGGGAATAGTGGAATTTGGAGAGGGATGTCATAAAATGTTCTCAAACTGTATTCTGGTGATGGTTGGACAACTGTATAAATATACTAACCATGAAACTATATAATGGATGACTGTTATGTATATATTACACCTCAGTAAAGCGGTTATAAATGTCAAGTAAAAATAGAGCCTTTATCTTTATAGATACATACTGAAATAATTGTGGCTGAAATACTATAACACTTGAGATTTACTTCAAAAAAGTCACAGTTGGGGATTTAGGGTTAGAGGTAGATGAAACAAGATCGGCCTTGAGTTCATCACACATGAAGCTGGGTGTAGCTGAATGGGAGTATCTTCTACTCTAGTTTACATGAGAAGTTTTTCATAATATAAAGGATTAAAAGAATAAAGGAAAGTTTCATAAAGGAGACCACCACCCTTTCCCTCATGATTCTGAGTACCTTGAAATGTTGATACCCCAGCTTGCCCATGTGTGAATGGGAGTAGGTGGAAAGGAGGAGCAGGAGGGACAGCCCTCTGGATTCTATATTTCATAGGTGAAAAAGGTATTAAAAGTATAGATCAGATTTAGGTATCATCTTGTTCTTCTTTCGTTCCTCTCATATCCCACATTTAATCCTCAGCAAGCAAGTCTTCTTGTTTTTTTCCTTAAAAATATGTTCAGAATCTGATTCCCCACAACCTCCAGGGCTACCCCTTTGGCACAAGGAATAGAAATGGTGACCTTTCAGCTCACAGGCCTGTGCTCAGTCCACTGAGCCACACCGGCCAGGGTTCAACTGTATTTCTATGTGCCAGCAATATACACTTAGAAAACAAAATTCAAAAATAAATACTATTTATAAGTGGTAAACACTTCATATTTTCCTACTGCTCTCATTTTTTTTAATTGAACTTACTGACTCAGCAGAAACTACCACTCATATTTCTCCCCACTTTTTCTTCTATCACCCTACAGAATCTACAACAACATCAATTAATTATTTTTATGGATAGAAGGGGCAAAATCATAACATTTTCTTTTAAACCCCAAAGTCTTGCCAATAGTCTCATTTTTCCAAGTGAGATATCAACAAGTAACAAAAGTATATAACTTAAAGTTACTAAGGGAACTGACTGAATAACTAAAAATTGTTCCATAAATATAATAAAAGGATAGAGGAGGGAAGATACTGTGGTGGGGAATATCAGCTAAATCCTTAGTATAAGTACTAGCAGAGAATATTATTTACTGAGGTAACTCTGAAGAAACAACACAGTTTTAAAAGTAGTACTCTGGGGAAAGGGAAGGGGCAGGGTGAGAAAGACTGGGTCAGGGGAGTGGTACTTTTTTCAGGTTGAGCCATTCTATATGGTGTTTTTATTTTATTTCCCAAACATTTTTATTTATTTTTAGAGAGAGGGGAAGGGAAGGAGAGAGGGAGAGAAACATCAATGTGTGATTGTTTCTCACACACATCCCCTGCACCGAGGACGTGACCTGCAGCCCAGGAATGTGCCCTGAGTAGGAATTGAACCAGTAACTCTTTGGTTCGCATGCTGGCACTCAATCTACTGAGCCACACCAGTCAGGACTATATGGTGTGGCTCATAATCACGTACATAATGCTACTTTAATAAAAATTATTTGGGGGATAAAACAAAAACAAAGCAAGGCCTAGAAGAACACATAGAAGACTGTCACTAGCACAGATTATACTGTAGTCCAGTATTTAATTTTGGGGGGAAATCTAAAAATACAGCTAATGAGATATACCTGAATAGGAGTGAAAAACCCATCTGACATCATAACTACCCCATTCAGGAAAGTCTGAGTGATAAATTGTAAAACTCCCAGTCTTCTGCAAAATACTATCACTTAACACTCTTACTCAACAAACTGAAGACAGTCCCCTTAAACTCTGCATCACTTTTACCCTTTGCTCTGGGTGCATTCCTTCGCTTAATCTTCCCCAGAAACCTCTTCTTCCGTGTACAACTTGGTAACAATTAGGTACAAAAACAGATGCAGATCTGTAGTGCAAAGTCAGCCCTCTACTGGTTAACAGAATAATTACACCTTACTCTGTTAGACAACTTTTGGTGTTCGTGAATCATTATGCATACAAGAAGCCTCGCCCACACCAAAATAATCTACTGTTGAACATAGACTGAAAGAGGGGAGAGCAGAAATGCAGCCTACCACTACTGCAAATTTTGCAGTCGAGTTTCTCACAGTTGGGGAAATCACAGGAGTCAGCACACCCAGAGTACAATGGGTGATCGCCTTCATGATTCATGGTATATCCCCTGCCAGGTTAAGTATGAGTTGCTGGCATTTCCTGGCCCCCCACCCTCAGATTTCAAATACTCAACACATATGGTCACTCTTTTCATGCAAGTTCTAGAGACCATCACAAGATAAAATTTTCTCCAAATCATAGTAAAAGCCAAACAAATAACATTTTGGGTACTGTAATATTTGCCAAAATCAGAAATGTATGTACAAGGTGAACAAGACACTGTACTCATTTACATACTCCAAGCACCTTTTAGTGACATCATTCAGTAGCTCCTGACAAATCTATCTGCAGGTTTTGGCCCACTACAGATATCCAAGTCTTAATCACTGGAACCTGTGACTGTATTATCCTACTTTGTGGCAAGAGAGTTTTTGCAGGTGTGATTACAAACTTGAGATGGATAGAGTACCCTAAATTATTCAGGTGGGCCTAAAATAACTATAGGGCCTGGAGAGAAAGAAGGAAACAGGCCGGCCAGAGAAACATTTAAGAACAAGACAGAAGAGATGTCAGCCTGAAGAAGATGCTAAATTTGCTGGCTGCAAAATGGAGGAAGGAACAACAAAAAAATACAGGTATGTAGTTCCCCGAAGCTGCAAAAATGCAAAAGAAAAAAAAAACAAATCCCTTTCAACGAAGAGAAGTAATGTTAACCACCAGGATTATAAAGCTGAAGTATTTCTGTGGTAATACGAACTTTTGGGAGAAAAACAAAATAAAGGCCAAAAAAACTTATGGGGATTGTAATCAAAACACATACCAGTTCCCAAGAAGCACAAAAAACCCACATTACAGTCACATCAATAAAAACCCTTGTATAACCTCTCTTTAAACAAGCTAGACCAGGGGAGAGCGCGAACGCAGTCCCCCACTACCACAAATTATGCAGTCGAGTTTCCCACATTTGGGGAAATCGCAGGGGTCAGCACACCCGGAGTGCAATGGGTGAGCCTCACCCTGGGAAAACCACCTTCTTGATCATGGTGTCTCCCCTGCCAGGTAAGTATGAGCTAGGAATGGTAATAAGGCACTTAACCCTAGAGTCAAATCACTGTAAAGATAGGATGACTTTTACCATTCACTCCATCAATCTCTTACTTCCATAATAAAGACTCTCCCAACTATAATTACCACGCATTAATATTTTGGATATCTGGATATTGTAAAAATCTTATGAAGTATGTGTCTAGTGTGAGCATGACCAGAAATCACTGCACTTATCTACATATTCCACACCCCTTTTGATGACCTCATTTATCACATCCTTTTCCTAATATGGTTAATGGTGCTGTTCAAATAAAACAAAGGTAAAGGTACTCTACAGATGTAAAGATAAACAAGATAAATTTGTTTTTTCCTTCAAGGGCTTAGAGCTAATAACATCACTGTGATGTCTGCTGAAGGTCATCAAAGCACCATCAACATAACTGAAAGAGCAAGTCAAAAAAGACTGGAAAAGAATGGAACTTGGCAAAACTGTATTTAAAAATCCAGTCCATGTACTGCTAAAGATAGGTTGTCAGTTCAAAGTTTCAAGCACAAGTACAAAACATGCTCTTTCAAATATGTGACAAATGATCACCCTTATTTGAAAGATCAATTGGACAAACACTAATTTTAATTTTAAACCAATCAAACTAGGGAAAAGCTCCTGCAGGGAAACCTCCTACATTCACATATCTGAAGATGTTGCAGAGATCAGTGGGAGTGTGATGATGGTCCTCACTGCTGAAAATCTACCTTTATAAGAGTGTCTCCTCTCCCACATAAGAATAAGTGGTGTTTCAACATAACCTTCAACTTTCCCTGAGCCCTCTCAGAATCGTAATACACACTTCAAAAAGAACATATCCTTCCTTAGGCAATGGTTAATAATCCACACATTCCATGTCCAGATAATAATTATTATCAAGTGCTAGCTTAGGCAGCGCACATACTAAAATTGGAACAATACCGAGATCAGCATGGAGCATGCACAAGAACGATATGCAAATTTGTGAAGCTTCCATAGTAAAAAACTACACACACACACACACACACACACACACACACACACACACATCCAGGGTCCAGTACAAATAACGCCTCTTTTTTATTTCAAAATCACACTCAAGCACACCATATGACATTTTAGGTGAAATGTTCAAATTAAAACTATAAATTATTACATCCATACTATTACCCTACCAACCACACTCAACCAGTTGTTACTTCTGCCAGACCCTGTACATGTATATATTCAGTCTGCTCAATCTTCTCCTTCCTGCTTCACTATAAACTAAAATTGGAGTTTCCAAGTTTAACTGTTCTTTGTCTTTAGAAGCACCCAATTTTCCACTTTTTAAAAATTTTACAGGACTTTTCTTGTATTCTCTCCTCTGCCAAAATAAATTAGCCAGAGTTTTATATCTTTTAAAAATATTTCTAAATTTTTATTTATTGATTTGAGAGAGAGAGGGGGGAACATTAATTTGTTGTTCCACTTATATATGCACTCATTGGTTGATTCTTGTATGTGACCTGACCGGATATCGAACCCACAACCCAGGGTTATCAGGAGGATGTGCTAACCAACCAAGCTACTCGGCCAGGGCTCAGAGTTTTATATCTTTAAAACAGGAAGAAATAATGCTTTTTTTTTAATTTTAAAGATTTTACTTATTTATTTTTAGAGAGAAGGCAAGAGAAAGAGAGGGAATGAAACATCAGTTTGTGAGAGAGTCATCATTGATCAGCTGCCTCTTCTAAGTGTCCCAGCCAGAGACTGAACCCACAACCCCAGCATGTGGGGGTAGGGAGGGCTATAAATAAGAGCCGCAATTATTCCTAAAGTCTGACCTTTGGCCGTCAATCAGTTTGATTTTCATCGCCTTTCTCCCTCAAAGCAAGTACTGTAATATATATTCATACACATGTACACATATATGTATATATAAACATAGACATACATAATCTATAAACAAAACATTACATTTGGTTTTGTGAAATAAAAGTTAAGATACCTTGACATCTGGCTGGGAATCACTCATGTAAGGGAAAAAGGTGATGTCTATGAACCAGACAATTGTTATCACCAAACAACTCTTAAATTCAAAATGTCATTTTCAATGGTCAATGGTATGTTTTGATCGACATTAAAGGGAAGTGGGTTGGGGAAAAATACTGGTTCTTTGAAAAATACCCCTTTTCTCCATTAGTAGCATGTTTATTCAGCTCATATCTTTATATTCCAGTAAGTTACTCTGCTCTCACTGATTAACAACCACCACCACCAAGAACACAAAAATCCTTGCATACCTCGTTTGAGTAAAGAGTTTTTAAAAAGATTTTATTTACTTATTTTTAAAGATGGGGAAGGGAGGGAGAAGTAAAGGGAGAGAAATATCGACAAGTGAGAGAAACATCCATTGGTTGCCTCTTGCACACCCCCCAACTGGGCCCACAACCCAGGTATGTTCCCTGACTGGGAACTGAAAACCAGCGACCTTTTGGTTTGCAGGACAACACCGAATCCACTTAGCCACATCAGTCAGGACCAAGTGAAGAACTGTAACGCTTTTCATTTATCATTGTAAAATCAAGAACAATTTTATAACTTCTTTGTATGTAGCTTTTACATGTGCGGCAATCTGTCTTTAAGTAGGGAAAGGGGCAAGCTTTTGGGAGTGGGCTGAATGTAAAGAGTTATGTTCAAGGTTGGCTGAGTTTGAGACTTCGCATTGACTAGCAGGCAATCAGAGGTTTGCGTTTGGAGGTCAGAGAACAGGTCAGGGCTAGAAATACAAATTTAAGAATCATTGGCATATAAACAGTCATTGGATTGTGAATAAGATAGCAGAAAAAGAGAATGAAAAGGAGAGACAATAGCAGAGAAGAGCGAACAGAGTAATCAGCAAAAGGTCTGCTTACAGGGCCTTACGCTCAAGGTATGCAGGATGAGTTTGCAAGGGAGAAAGAAAAGCCAGGTGGGTAGAAAGGAAATCAGGAGTGTAGCATCACAGAAATCAGGTGAGAAACTTTCAGGAAAGTTTGTGGACAAGTAAACATGTATTAAGCTCCTGCTAGGTATAAGGCCTTGTGCAAATGATATTCCTGTGCTAAACATATGTTTGAGGCCTTACCTTTTATCCCAACCACCTATAAAGCTAAGCCTTGATTCAGAGTTTTATCAAATCAAATCAAATGTGTAAAAGAACTTTTCTTTGGCACTTTACAGAAGAGTCTCAGAGCATTAGTACTCTGCTCAGCAAGGTGTTCAGCATGTTTTTATTTAACTGAATGTACATATTAGAACATTTCAAGATGGAAAAGGAAATTAAGATTATATACCATTTCTGTGTGAGCTACTTTGTATTTTCAATTTAATATTTCCAACAACTCCACAAAATATTATCTTTTACTTCCAGGCGAGTTAACTGGGTAAACTGGCTGTAAGTCTCACAGTTGGTAATTTTTAGAGATGTGCTAAAAATACAATTTGTATGACTCCAAAGCTTATGTCCATCACAGTGTCTCTCAAACTTTTTCAACAAGTAACCACAATGACAAAGGAAAATAAAAACATACCCAGGAGGCTTTGGGAGACTACTGAAGTGTCAAGTTTAAACAGGATAATTTTTCAGAGTCTTATGTTTATCTTAACATTTATTTTTATGTTTGCGTTTCAGTCTACAATATACAGTGTCTGGCACAAATAATGCCCCTTTTTATTACAAAATCATAAACATGTAATTCTGTAACATAACAGTATCACACTCAAGCACACCATATGACATTTTAGGTGAAATGTTCAAATTAAAACTATAAATTATTACACCCATATTATTACCCTACCAACCACATTCAAGCAGGCGTTAATTCTGCCAGACCCTGTATTAATGCTTATTTAATATATAATGTTTTAAGTGGCTTATCAATTAAATCATTCTTCTCTAAAAAAATATTTGAGAAAATCTGACAGTACAAGAAAATGCACCTTCCATATAAATTCTTTAGCTTTGTTCCTGGTGCCTGGCCTCAAAAACCTGGATCCCAGTTTCAAAGCCTGGTTACACAGGCTTTTTTTTAAAAAAAATTACATTTATTGATTTCAGAGAGAAGGAAAGTGGGAGAGGGAGAAAGAGACAGAAAGAGAGAAACATTGATGTGAAAGAAAACACCCATATGACAGGCCTCTCACACGCACCTCGATTGGGAATGGACCCACAACCCAGGCATGTGTCCCCACCAAGGACAGGGCCCAACTCAAGCATGTACCCTGACGGGAATAGCACCCTCAACCTCTTGGTGTACCGGACAGCACTCCAACCAACTGAACCACACCAGCCAGGGCGATTGTACAGGTTTTTAAAAAAATCTTAAGGATGATGAAAACAATAATAATTATAGGGAATTCAGGCGTCAGAATAAGATACAGATAAAAATTGTAGAGCTACAGATAGAGTCAACTACCAGTAGTTTAACTCTTCAGTGCAAATAAAACAAAATTCCAAATATGACTGACCCCACTGAAATTGGCCAAACTGAAGAGCTATCCTTTAATGTATTAATGCCATCTCTTTTTCACCCAAGACCCGGGTTACTTTATAAGCATAAGCATGAATTCTCCTTGTAGTCAACATTTATGAAATGCCCACTGTGTGCCCATATGCAGATCACACTAGAGGTTATGCGACGTATTGAGTTGCAAACAAACCACATTTTGATCAGATCTACCAGACTTTCTCTGCCGTATGAAATGGGAGACAAACAATTCTCGAATTCTCCCACCACCCCCGGGGGGCTCACAATTTGGAGGTAGCTCGTGATAGAAAAAAAGGGTACTAGGCTTTAATTTTGGCTTCAATAAAACTGTACTATGAGCTCCTGTGTTCTTTTTTCCTCATGAGAATTGTTGCGAGCATTTGAAATGGGTAAGATTTGCTAATGTGGTCAACATACATTTCCTTTCTTAGATATTATATATTTAAGTGTTCTAATTTGCAATATTTAGGGCGTTCTTTTAGGAATAAGATTTAAGCTAAGAATTGTTGCCCAAAGGTAGTTCCCAAAAGAAATCATAACTTACCTAGGCAGGGAAAGAGTTCGTAAACCACCTCTCGAGTCTCTCAAAGTCCTGTTTTAGAAGCAGCCCCTCCCAAACTCTGTTCCAGAACAGAAACTCTTGCATAACCCAACTACTCTATCCCAGAACAGGGACTGCCCATGCCCAGCCCACTACGGGGATATTACTTGCGTTACTTTTCCAGCTGCCTTTTAAAATAGGCAGACCGTTAAGAGCCAACGGTCTGATAATCCACCCTGCTCCAAACTGGACTCGCGGAAGGCGTGGGTGGATGCCGGGATTGCGCGCGGAGAAATCACCGCGGAGGTGGCGGGCTAGCCCACAATTCTTCGCGAGGGCGAAGGCAGGAAAGACGAGGGGCCAAGCACTGGGGACAGCAGGCGATAAAGACCAAGAGACTGGAACCCTGTAGTGGGAACCCAAATTAATCCTATGTCCGTTTCATATCCCAAACTAGTAACTGGCCAGTGTGTGTGCGCGCATTATTCCCACTCAGGCGATCGTTCTTATTAACAAGCTTGAGGTTTTCACCCAACAGGCCAGGGCAGAAGTGAGAAAATGTGGTTAGTGTACACTGTGCCAGGCTCCCTATCCATAAGTCTCCACCTATCTTTTTATTGTCAGGGTGTACTTTCAATGAGGGAACTGTAGTAGGATTTGGAAGATTCACGACGAAATCAATGCGTCCGCGTGGAAATTTAGTATACCTCCTCACGGCGGCAAAACCCAAGGCCGCGTGCCGCCAGGCCAAAACCCCTCCCCTTCCGCTTTACGTCTGACGTCATGAGGCACGGCCGGTCGCCGGCGTGCGGGATTCGGCCACTGGGGGGTTAGCAGTTCTGTGCGACTGCGCGCGTAGCCATCTGGCTTTGAAATGCAGCGGGATTTAGTGAGTTTTCCCTTGTCGCCAGCAGTGCGGGTGAAGTTGGTGTCTTCAGGTTTCCAGACTGCTGAGGAACTCCTAGACGTGAAGCCCTCCGAGCTCAGCAAAGGTAACGACTCCCGACGTTAAACTGTGGTACGCTGGCCGCCGTTCGTGCCGCTTCCATCTCTTCTCCCGCCTTCAGGTGTCAGCCCAGTCTCAGCAGCTGGCGCCTTCGGCTGCCTGTACAACTGAAAAGGCTCTTTGACAATCCTTAACGTGGTTTGAATGGTTAGAACTGTGGTTCTGCAAACATTTACTAATTGCTCTCTGTGCTAGTGCCTGCTGAATGCTCTGAAGATTATATCGTTTACATTCAAAAGAACCCTTTTAGGTGGACCATACCCGATACACAGGTGAAGACAGTGATGCTTGGGGAGGTTCAGTAACTTTTTGTGATGACTGGGCTAGGCAGTTGTGGAGCCAGGATTGGAACTCACAGAGGTTGTCTAACTTTCGCTATTTCCAAATCCAAGGGGCAGGGTCTAAATTTGAGAAATGAAGGATTCGTTATAGGACTAGAGACGGTAAGAAAAGGAGTAGAGCCCCCAGAAGGCAGTAGCAAGAAGACATCGCTTCTTTTATATAACTCACTGAAAAAACCAAACACTTCACATTCCTGAATACTAGATAATATGTTGGTGGGAACCACTGCATTCTGAGGCATAAAAAAATAAAACGGTCAGCGGTTAACGCTATGGTATGCCTAAAACTATAGTGTCAAGGTAGAACAGAATTTTAAGTCATTGCTCTTATTGTAAAATAAGGAGGTTTCATGCCTCGGCTGGTGTGGCTCAGTGGATTTAGTACCAGGCTGCGAACCAAAGGGTTGCCTGTTTGATTCCCAATTAGGGCACATGCCTGGGTTGCTGGCCAGGTCCCCAGAAGGGGACCTGCGAGAGGCAACCAATTGATGTTTCTCTCACACACTGATTTTTCTCTCCCTCTCTTTTTCCCTTCCCCTCTCTCTTAAACTAAGTAAATAAAATCTTAAAAAAAAAAAATGTTTCAATTAGCCATTAAAGAATAAATGTCCTGGCTGATGTGTTTCAGTGGATTGAGCACCGGCCTGTGACCCAAAGGGTCACTGGTTCAATTCCCAGTCAGGGCACATGCCTGGGTTGCGGGCCAGGTCCCCAATAGGGGGCATGTGAAGGGCAGTGAACTGATCTATCTTTCACACACTGATGTTTCTCTCTGTATTTTTCTCCTTCCCTTCCCCTCTCTCTAAAAGTAAATAAATAAAATCTTTTTTTTAAAAAAAGGAATAAATGTAGCCTTAATGTTAACTATTTATTTTAAATCTTACACTGCACATTGTGTTCCCTAAAGTTTGATGGGCTCTTTTTCTTTCAAAAGTTGGTTTTACAAAAAAGAAATGAGAGAATATGAACAATAATAAAGGTAACAATTGAGGCACAAAATCTGAGGCACAAAAAAAGTAACTTGCGCAAACATGACTACGTAGTCAGTAGTGCAGTCAGGCTTTACAGACCCAACTAATTGACTCCAGAGTTCAGGCTCTTAAATTAGATAGGATTTTCATTACCTTATCACAATTACTGTCTTTTGTTGGCACCAAATTTATAGTTCATATCCTTACCAAATCAAGCACTGATATAGCAAATTCATAAGTGATACCATCCTCACCATTATTTCTTTCATTAGCAGCTTGTTTTGTAATTACCATTTTCTCTTCTCAGGCTGTATTGTCAGATAGGAATGAAACTGTTTAGCTGAGGAAAGCATAAGGGTATTGTTTAAAATATTTGTGCATTAAATAATTGTCCTCATTAGATAGTTTGGGATCATACATGAATTTTTCATGCCATTGTTTCAATGAAAAGTTTTCATTATGAATAAAACATGCACATGCACTTCTTAAATTTGCATTGTGTTTTAGGCAATTAAAGAGGCCATTTTAATTCTCTTCTGAAAAATAATTTGTATACCTTACAAAAGCAAGATAATTATGGCTTCAGATAATTTTGGTGGTAGACCAAAAGGGATAGTGAAAGGACTGACTGCTGGTACATTTTTATTTCTATATCCTGAGACATTTTTGTAGGTACTTAGAAATGCTTTAGAGGTTTAGGTTTTTGAATTCAGTTTCTGAGGTAATAAATCTTTTAAGTATATGAGGACTAAGAAAACATAGAAATACCTTTATTAACTTGAAAGGCTAAATAGTTAATGGAATGTTACATTTTTATGTTTCTGTGTTCTTGGCTAAAAATTAAAATCAATCTAAAAATTAAAATTAATGAAGACACCCTGGCTGGTACGGCTCAGTTGATTGATCACTGGCCTCTGAACCAAAGGGTCGCCAGTTTGATTCCCAGTCAGGGCACATGCCTGGGATGTGGGCCAGGTCCCCCGTGGGGGGGGCACGTGAGAGGCAACCACACATTGATGTTTCTCTCCCTCTCTTTCTCCTTCCCTTCCCCTCTGTCTAAAAATAAATGTAAAAAAAAATCTTTAAAATTAATGAAAACAACCAAATAGGATGTTATACTGTTTTAAATCTCTAAACTCAGGGTTTTTCTTTTTCTTACTCTACTTTCAGAAATTGGTATATCTAAAGAGGAAGCCTTAGAAACTCTGCAAATTATAAGAAGAGAATGTCTCACAGATAAACCAAGACAGGCCGGTACAGCTGAGTCAGGCAAGAAGTGTACAGCACTGGATCTTCTAGAACAAGAGCATACCCAGAACTTCATAATTACCTTCTGTTCAGCACTAGATAATATTCTTGGGGGTGGAGTACCCTTAACCAAAACAACAGAAATTTGTGGTGCACCAGGTGTTGGAAAAACACAATTATGGTAAACTAAAATGTTTCCTTCTTAAGGGTGGGCTTAATAATGTTTTATGTCAGCAATAGAGTATTGTGTTATGGGTCTGTAGTCAGACCAAAAAAAGGCATGTATGTGTTCGTAAATTTTTTTGTGTGTGTATATATATAGCATCAAACAAAAACCAACTTAACATTTATGTTATTTTAGCACCCCATCTTGATAAATTTATTTTGATATCACAAAATGTTTCCTTTACAACATTGTAAAGGAGTCATTAAGATAAATAAGCAGTATTCTACTTTATTATATAATTAATTCCTGAGAATATATGTGGAAGTCAAATGTTTGAAAGTAGATTTATGTATAATAAGAAAGGGTTCCATTCCCAGAGGCCTAAAATTCCTTAGTCATGATTTTCTAGGCACACTTTCCCTAATCCAAGCATCAGTTGATTCACGTATACAGGGTGAGACAACAGTAGGTTTATAGTAGTTCGTATGGAAAATAATAATACAAATAAACTGTTTCATGTACTCACAACTGTACACCTGCTTTTGCCCCACCCTGTATTTAGAGCTATGAAGAATCAGCCATCTTTGTTGTCTGGGGGAGTATATTTAGTGGTACCTAATGTATGGTGATCCGTGGTTTAAAAAACATTACTTTAGAAATTATGATAATGATTTATTCATTTGACCTCTTTCTCTTGGTAGTATGCAGTTGGCAGTAGATGTGCAGATACCAGAATGTTTTGGAGGAGTGGAAGGTGAAGCAGTTTTTATTGATACAGAGGGAAGTTTTATGGTTGATAGAGTGGTAGACCTTGCAACTGCCTGCATTCAGCACCTGCAGCTTATAGCAAAAACACATATGGAAGAGGGTAAGTTAGCAAGTGATTCTCTTTTTTTCTGTATAATAAAAGAAATTTGCATTTGGACTCATCCCAGGCCTCAGCAAGAGAACATTTGGATATGTGAAGCTTAATGACTCAACAGTGTACTGGTGTTAAATTCTCATATCCCTCTTACAAAATGAGAAATGCCACAACTTGGATTGGCCTTTTCTTCCCCTTTTATGGCCCTGACTTTCTTATTGTAGGAGCTCTAGGGTAAACCTTTTTGTATGTATTTCAGTGTATGACTTCAAATTATACTTTGATCTGCCAGCTGTGAACTAATTTTATGGGAGACTTTCCTGTAAGTGTTGTCTCCGTGCATTCACTATTTTGACTTTCATACTGGTTTTTCCAAAGACCAAAGTTATTTTAGAAAAACCGTGTCTGGAAATATTTGGGACATGAAGGTAATTGACCTCATGACTATGGTAATTGTATTGCTAAAGTGTTTGGAAAAGGTTTTTTTGCATTTATTATATAGAAATCAAATGTTTAATTAAGAAAAAAGTTAAAGGTAATTTATATTCAAGTTCTTGTCCCTTCAATTACTTATAAAATTTAATGATTTCTGGTTTGACTTTTTTTTTTTGCTTTGTTCAATTTTATTCTTTGGATGTGCATTCCTTATTCTTTCCTCTAGAAGTTTTTAAAAACAATGCTTTTTAGAGAGATGGCCAAGATGGAGGCATAGGCAGAGACGCTTCGCTTCCTTGAACAACCAAAAGAAGGATAACAACCAATTAAAAAAAAAAAGACAACCAGAACTTCCAGAAAATCAAACTGCATGGAAGTCTAACAAACAAGGAGTTAAAGAAACATTCATCCAGACTTCTAGGAGGGGCAGAGGTGGGGGCAGAAAGGACATGTGCAGCGAGGCAGAGGCTGGTGGACGGGGGGCGGGCAGTCCCATATTTGCATACATAAGCTGGGAGGAACAATGGGGGAGCGACACAGACCGTGAAACCCAGGGTTTCAGCACTAAAGACTCAAAACCCCTGGCTGTAAAAATCTATGGGGGTTGCTGCGGTGGGAGAAACTCCCAGTCTCCTAGTAGAGTCCCTTGGAGAAGCCCACAGGATCCTAGAACATACACAAGCCCACCCACCTGCGAATCAGCACCTGAAAGGGCACAAACAGCTTGTGGGGAGGGAGGTGATGGAAAGTGGGGTGAGAGTTGAGCAAGAGGCATTGTTCCCTTTCTGACCCATCCCCCATAGACAGCTCCACAACTTAAGAGGATTGCCCCACTTTGGCAAATACCTGAGGCTCCGCTCCTTACAGTGTCACAGGTGTGCTGAGACAAAGAAATAAGGCCCAAAGGAAAGAACAGATCAAAACACCAGAAAGAACTAAGCGATGTGGAGATAGACAACCTTTCTGATGCAGAGTTCAAAACACTGGTAAGCAGGATGCTCACAGTATTGATTGAGCTCGGTTGCAAAATGAAGGAAGAAATGGAGTCTATACAATGTGAAATAAAGGAAAGTATACAGGGAACAAACAGTGAAGGGAAGGAAACCAGGACTCAACGATTTGGAACAAAAGGAAGACATAAACATCCAACCGGAACAGAATAAAGAAACAAGAATTCAAAAAAATGAGGAGAGGCTTAGGAATCTCTAGAACAACTTTAAATGCTCCAACATCCAGATGATAGGGGTGCCAGAAGGAGAAGAGGAAGAGCAAGAAATTGGAAACTTATTTGAACAAATAATGAAGGAAAACTTCCCCAATCTGGCCAAGGAGATAGATGTCCAGGAATCCCAGAGAATCCCAAAGAAATTGGACCCAAGGAGGAACACACCAGAACACATCATAATTAAATTACCCAAGATTAAAGATGAGAGAATCTTAAAAGCAGCAAGAGCAAAGGAGACAGTAACCTACAAAGGAGTTCCCATAAAACTGTCCTCTGACTTCTCAAAAAGAAATCTTGCAGACAAGAAGGGGCTGGAAAGAAGTTTTCAAAGTCATGAAAGGCAAGGACCTACATCCAAGATTACTCTATCCAGCAAAAGTATCATTTAGAATGGAAGGGCAGAAAAGTGCTTCCCAGATAAGGTCAAGTTAAAGGAGTTCATCATCACCAAGCTCTTACTATATGAAACATTAAAGGGACTTATCTAAGAAATAGAAGAAGATCAAAACTATGAACAACAAAATGACAACAAACTCTCAAATATCAACAACTGAACCTAAAAAACAAAAACTAAGCAAACAACTAGAACAGGAACAGAATCACAGAAATGAAGATCACATGGAGGGTAATCAGGGGTGAAGGGGGAGATAATGGTAGGGGGAAGGTACAGGGAATAAGAAGCATAATAGGTAGGCACAAAATAGGCAAGCGGAGGTTAAGAATAGTATAGGAAATGGAGAGGCCGAAGAACTTATATGACCCATAGACATGAACTAAGGACGGAGGTGGATAAAGGGGAGAAATAAATTGGGACAACTGTAATAGCATAATCAATAAAATATACTTCAAAAAAATGCTTTTTATACATGCTTGTAATTCCTTTAAATGCTTGTAATCATCCCTGAGTGGTGTGGCTTGGTTGGGCATCTTCCTGAGCATGAAAGGCAACTGATCAATGTTTCTCTTTCACATCCATGTTTCTCTTCCTCTCTTCCCCTCGCTCTAAAAATAAATATGCCCTGGCTGGTGTGGCTCAGTGGATTGAATGCCAGCCTGCAAAGCAAGGGGTCGCGGGTTCAATTCCCAGTCAGGGCACATGACTGGGTTTAGGGCCAAGTCTCCAGTAGGGGGGATGTGAGAGGCAACCACACACTGATGTTTCCCTCTCTCCCTTCCTTCCCCTCTAAAAATAAAGAAAGAAAATCTTTAAAAATAAATAAAGTGTCTGTAATCAGCTGAATGTTTTTATTTTCATGGGAATGCTAGGTGTTCTTTTTAACTGATGACCAGTATTGTCTACTGAAAGCCCTTAAAGCTACTCATGTCAATGTATATTTGTAATAGTGTCTTAAAATATTGTAAATATTGTAGGTGTAGCACTGGGATATAAAGTTTTTAGGGATTGGTGTGTGATTAAGGTGTTATTTTTTGGTGAAAAATTAACTTTTAAAATGTATATTTGCAATAGGCAGTGTTTTCTGAAATTTAATTTCCTGAGGTCCCTTCCCCCCAATATTAAACCTTAAGTAACATTTTAAAATGCAACAATTTTTAACTGGTTTTTCTCTGAAATAGGAACAAAGCCAAATTGGTTATTTTTAAATCCAATCTAAGTAGAGAATATCATTTTATATCATTGTTTCTACTTAAATTAGCAAGTTAAACTATGGTATTGAAGGGGAAAAATGTTTCTTTTGGACATTTTTACTTTTAACTGTTAGTTTATGGTCTTATTAAAAAAAAAGAGAGAGAGAAATTCCATTATGCTACTTCTATTCAAAGGAAGCCAGTAATTAGACCTATGAACAAGCAGGCATTAAAATCAGTTGTATACGTGTATAGACAATTTCTAGATAGCCTAGTGTATAAGGAAATAGTGGGAAAAGTGAAAATAATAGGACAGGAACAATTATGAAATGATAGTTCATAGTAATTTTGCTATAATTTTATCATCTTTCAATTAAAGATGATCTTTCACAGTGAAGCATTTTTTTCCCAAACGTTTGATTTTTATAGTCACCAATATTTCAAAACAGGTAACGATAATTATTTTAAGATTGTTTTGTTGTTTATTTCAGCACACCCTAAGGCCTTGGAGAATTTCACTCTTGAAAATATTCTTTCCCATATTTATTATTTTCGTTGTCGTGACTACACAGAGCTACTGGCACAAGTTTATCTCCTTTCAGACTTCCTTTCAGAACACTCAAAGGTATGGCTTAAATTACTGAAATATTAATATAACTACAGTATTTTTCTCTGTACTTGTAACCATATGTTCAAAAATAAATGCTGAAATTCCTTTATAATACAGAAAATATCTAAATATAAATAAATTAAAAATAGAATTAAAAAATTAAAATGAAATATTTTTTTCCTGAAAGTTTAGGTCAAAAATGTGGGTGTACATTATACACAGGAACACATTATACGTGGCAAAATATGGGTAACTAAGTATCTTTGGAAGTGTTTGGTTAATGTGAAAAATAAGTTAATAGTACAGTGTCATAAGCCAATTTAGAAAATCTCTTCCTTTCTTCCTACAATTTATTAATATTTACATTTATTTAGCATGTATATATGGAAGAAATTGAAATGATATAGAAAGAGTTTCCACCTCCAGGAATGGTGGAATAGCTCATATCAAACAAACTGTACAGAGAGGTATAGAATGGAAAATAAAACTGCTGCTGCTGCTTTTGCTACCTAGTACCTCTCCAAAGTTGACCACTATTAATAGTTTCTTGTGTGTCTTCTCAAAACTTTTTTTACATATAACAATATCTAGGCCTCCCCATTTTTAACATTTGTTAATGGGATTATACTGTAATATTTTTCTGCACCTTTTATTTTGGCTTAGTGCTTTGCATAGCTTTTTGTATCATTATATACAAATAGACCTTATTCATTTTTTATTTTTTGTTTTTTTAATTTCTTTTGAGAGAGAGAGGAATGGAGGGAGAAAGAGAGTGAGAGAAAACACCAATGTGAGAGGGAAACACTGATCAGTTGCTTCTCTTATGTCCCCTAATTGGCCTGGCCCACAACCCTGACATGTGCTCTTGCTGGGAATTGAACTGGCAACCTTCCCATTTACAGGCCAGTGATCAATCCACTGAGCACACCAGCGAGGGCCACACCTTATTCTTTCAGGTGCATATTTCGTTTTAAGAAGGTACTTTCCATTCCTGGTGGGAATGTAAAATGGTATAGTTTCTGTAGAAAACAGTATGGCAGTTCCTCAAAAAATTGAACATAGAACTACCGTATGATGGAGCAAGTCCAGTTCTGGGTATATAACCAAAAGAATTGAGAGCAAGGGCTTGAGATATTTGTACATCTATGTTCATAGCAGCATTATTTACAGTAGCTAAAACATAGAAGCAACACAAGTATCCATTGATGGATGAATAGATAAACAAAATGTCTTATATACATAGAGTGGAATATTCAGTCTTAAAAAGGAAAGGAAATCTGACACATTCTACAGCATGGATGAATCTTGTTAAGTGAAATAAGCTAATTATTAAAAAAGACTATGATCTTGCTTTTATGAGGTATCAAGAGTAGTCAAACTCAGAGACAGAAAGTAGAATGGTGGTTGCCAGGGCCTGCAGAAAAGAGAATGGGGAAATACTGCTCTATGGTTATAGAGTTTTAGTTTTAAAAAATGCAAAAATCTAGAGATAGTAGCACAACATTATAAATGTTGTGGTATTTATACCACTAAACTGTACACTTAAATGATTAAGATAGTAAGTTTCATGTTAATGTATATTTTACTACAATAAAAATGCTTTGGGGGAGTAATTACCTTAATTTATTCAACTGGTCATCTATTGGTGGACTTTTAGGTGCTATTATTAACAAAGGTTTGGCTACAGCTCTTAACACATATTTCTTGGGGTACATTTGTGAGTATGTTAATGGGATAAATGCTAAGTATCAGAAATGTAATATTAAAGGTTATATGGCCCTGACTGGGTAGCTCAGTTGGTTAGAGCATCATCCCAGTGTGCCAAGGTTGTGGCTTCGAGACCCCGTCAGAGTACATACAAGAGTCAACCAATGGCCCTGGCTGGTGTGGCTCAGTGGATTGAGTGCTGGCCTGTGAACCAAAAGGTCACCAGTTAGATTCCCAGCCAGGGCACATGCCTCAGTTGCAGGCAAGGTTCCCATTTGGTGTCTATGTGAGAGGGAACCAGTAGATGTATCTTTCATATATCCGTATTTCTTTCCCCCTCTTTCTCACTCTCTTCCCCTCTCTCTAAAAATAAATAAATAAAATCTAAAATAAATAAATAAACTACAATAGTAATTTTTAAAAGAGTCAACCAATCGATACATGAATGGGTAGAGCAACAAAACATGTTTCTGTCTCTCCCTCCCTCCCCCTACTTTCTCCTAAATTTGGTGAATTAAAAATAAATATTTTAAAAAGGTTATATGTGTTTTTAATTATGACAGACATTATACACAACGAAGATGATCCTTGACCAAACTTTAGTCAGCCTCCTCTGAAACACTCTTTTGGAATAGGCCTTAACTTTGACCCCAATCTGTCTTTGACCTTACCCGCCCAGTTCATTATTATGTATAGTGCTACTACAAAAATGAGTGTACAGTAGTAAAGAATCCTTCTAGGTTAGTTTAGGGAGAATTACCCACCTTTAATACCCAATTACCCTACTAAGGTTCCTCATTTTCCACCTTTGATGTGTATGCATCTTTGGCCTGCCTTGAGCAAGACTCCTTCTACCCTTGATGTCTCCTCTTAGTAATTTTCCATTAACTGACTAGTTCACCCTACTTACTGGCTATAAAGCTTCACTTGTCTTTGTTGTAATTGTGGTTCAGCCTGATTTTACTCTATTGCAATATTCTTTTTTTAAAAATTATTTTTATTTTATTTTAACCCTCGCTTGAGGATATGTTTATTGATTTTAAAGAGAGAGGAAGGGGCAGGGAAGAGAGACAGATTCATATGAGAGAGAATAATTGATCAGTTGCCTCCTATATGCACCCTGACCAGGGATCTAACCCACAACTGAGGTATGTGCCCTAAGCAGGGATTGAACCTGCAACCTCTTGGTGTGTGGGGTAATGCTCCAATCAACTGAGCCACCTGACCAGCGCAGAAGTATGTTCTTAAATGCTTCTTGTAGACTTTATATGTTCTTGCAGTCTCTCCTTGTGAGGTTTTTATTAATCCTTATTTTATGAAAATGGAAAATACGGTTATTTTGCTAACATTACAATATTTTGGTACATCCTCCAGTTTTTATGTTTCTCCATAGTTTGAATAATTATTTGTGATCTCTGATACGGGAAGGATCTCACATTGCTTACAAGCCAGTCTTAGGATCAGTGAATAATAAGACTGCAAGGAATATCGAATAGTGTCATCCCATCATCCATTTACCCCAAATTTCTTCTTTAATAGTTGCACAAAGGGTGGGAAGTGCTGGGGAGAAGGGATTTAGTATACTACACAAACTGTTTCTGGAACATAATGACTCTCTCCTGGTCTCCTAATTTTTCTTCTTAAAGACACCACAGTTGGTAACTACAGTTTCAGCTTTTATGAGTTAAATGACAATCCCTATTTTATCCTACTCACTCAGTCTCTGTCAATCGTCAGCTTTCTGTCATCTTCAGTATACTCTCCCTCAGTATATTCTCTCTTTTGAGACATCAAGGAAACTCACCAGAGCATATGTAATAACTTCCATCCTGAACTTTGGGAAAGCTGTCAGTGTGAATAGTTACCACTTAATGGAAGGTCCAGATCTTTGTAATTTAGTAAGTAAATTAAATCTGAACTTTGGAGAGGAAAAATAGCTGTGTCTGTTCTTTTTTGTCTGTTGGAGGTTAGGATCTACAGCTCCTCTGGCATGAGCAGAGAGGTCCTAGAATGCCCTGGGTATTTGGGGTTCCCTGTCAAAACCTATAATAATATGGTTTTCCTGTGGAATATTTTTTCTGTTGATTTGAGCTAATGGTCAAACCTAAATTCATTAGTTTTCTAATAGTAGAAGAATATTTTCTCAGTTTTTGTGTAGTTCACAATGTAATAGGTACAGACACAACACATTTTTAAGGTCAGTCTGATTTTGCCATTTTCCCCATTACTTTATTAACTGTTTAGATAATTAGCAAGCCAAATCAAGCCCTGATCTGTAGCTGATTTATTTGCTGATTTCCATGTTAGAAGATCCTTTTGTCTTGGCTGATTTCAAGCTACCAATGTGATGTCATTGAATATGAAATAGAGAAGAAACAAGGTACAGTAGCACATCATTATGCAGTAGTTCCACTATAACCTATTGATATTCCTCTCTCATATTATGTTTCCCTCTCTCTAAAAGTAAATAAATAAAGTCTTAAAGTAAAAGGTAAAATAGGTGCAAATAATCTTGAGAGCTTGTTAGGAGGTTCTAGCATGGGAACATACCTACTTGTATACCCTTGACCAAAGACTGGTCCTCTCTTCTAGTTGGGAAGGTCATCCTCTTTGACTGAGCTCACAGCTTTGGGAGGGACGCATATGGATTGGTGAGGGAGGAAGGGGACACCCGCCTAGCCAGCCAGATCAGCCAAATCAACCCTGGTAATCAGTGGGGTAACAGATGTTGCAGCCAAATTGCCCTCACATCCAGGTGCAAATAATCTTAAGAGCATGGCTAACAGTGAAATGTAAAATAATTAAGAAGGAATAACTTCAGTATTTATTATCCATATTTTACTTTATATATTAATATAACTTATTTACTCATAAACTTACAGTTTTCTTAAACGGCAGTATTAATGACTGAGTTGCAAAATTTCTGAAAATTTAGCAGTTGGCTCAGTAGCCTGTAGGATTTGGCTTTGGCTCACGACTGGACTTTCCTGATATAATTTCCTACCAGTCCCTCTCACTACTTTATTTCTGGCCTTTAAACATGCCAAACTTCTTTGTGTCTTAGGGCCTCTGCCCTTCTTACTCCTTATACATGAATTGTCTTTCCCTACTGGAGGTTCTTATCTAGGCAGTTCTGTTGCCTGACTTCTCACTGATGTTTTCCCCTACATCTAGTCTAAGTTAGCTTCCTTCTCTCCCACTACCTACTTATTCTTTGCCATTTTCACCCAGATTTAGTATCTTCTTTTTTAAAGATTTTTAAAATTTATTTTTAGAGAGAGGGAAAGGGAGGGAGAGAGGGAAATGATGTGAGAAACATCAATTAGTTGCCTCTCACTTGCCCCCAACTAGGGATCCTCCTGTCCACAAGCCAGGCATGTGCCGTGACTGGGAATCGAACTGACAATCTTTTGGTTTTCAGGACAGCATCCAGCCTGCTACTGAGCCACACCAGTCAGGGCGTATCTTTTTTTTTCATTTTGATCCTTGCCCAAGGATTGCTTTTAGAGAGAGGAGGAGGGGTGGGGGAGAGATATTGATGTCAGAGAGAAATACCAATCAGTTGCCTCCTGTACGTGTCCCAACTGGGGATCAAACCCTCAACGTAGGTATATGCCCTGACCAGGGATCACACCTGCATCCTGTACATGTGCCCTGACTGGGGATCGAACTTGCAGCCCTTTGGGCCAGTGCTCCAACTTATTTAGTTACCTCGCCAGGGTCAGTTTTAGTATCTTCATAGCTCTTACCATTGTCAGAAGTTATCTTATATTTATATATTTGTTTGCATGTTAATTGTCTCTTACTCCACTAGAATATAAGCTTTGTTCCCCAATGCCTGTAACAGTGACTAGCATATAGTATGGGTCAATAAATATTTGCTGAATAAAGGAATGAATACTCTAATAAAAGATATAAAAGTGGCCTACAGCTCTTGCCATGCAGCTCAGTTGATTGGAGTGCCGTCCAGATATGCCAAGGTTGCAGGTTTAATCCCCGGTCAGGGCACATACAAGAAGCGAACAATGAATGCATAAATACAAATCAGTGTTGTTGTTTTTCTCTTTCTAAAATTAATAAATTTAAAAAATTAAAAAAAACCCTACACATATTTCACAAATGCCTCTTCTTAGCCTAATCCTTAATAGATAGAAAAAAAAAATCAAAATATCTTGGAGTTTTTCATTTGTTTATACTATAGGAGCCATTATTTAGATTATATTAGAAATGAACCTGTCATGAAAATATTTATCATCTATAAGTAAACTTTCTTGATTATAATTCTGCCTCACACTGAATTCTCTATTTTAACAATTCTATAATGGTTATTTGCCATATAGTATATTTAAATTAAGGGGAGCCCTGGCTGATGTGGCTCTGCTGGTTGGAGCGTGGTCCCATGAACTGAAAGGTGCAGGTTCGATTACCAGTTGGGGCACATGCCTCCATTGCGGACTTGGTCCTGGTCCGGGTGCCTGTGAGAGGCATCTGATTGATGTTTCTCTCTCATGTTGATGTTTCTCTCCCTCTCTATCTCCTTCTCTTCCCCCCTCTAAAAATCAATAAGCATGTGCTTGGGTGAGGATAAAAAATAATAATAATAAAATAAATAAAATTAAGGGGAAAAAGTATACCATTAATCAAGCTTTTGAAGAAGCTATTATAATCTAATATTTGAAGGATGTTTTTAACATAAAAAGAATCCTGAAGGTAAAAGTGATATATTTAATTGGGAAATTTGTTTCACTAAATCTTCAAAAGTGATTTTTATCAATGTAAAAATATCCCTGTAAAGACTTACGTACAACTGATAGGGACCCCAAAAAACCAAGAATTTACTTATAAAAAGTTGTGTATTTATTCATACATGTTTAAACTTGTCATCTTCAAAGTACTCTCCATTTGATTCAGATGCTTTTTCTACTGCTCAAAACAGTTTTTGAACTTGTCAAAAAAACTCATCATTTTTGATGCCCTTTAGGTCTTCTGGCTGTTTTTGTTTTACCTCTTCCGCTTCGGCAAAACATTTCCCTTTGAGGACTTTTTCTTCCAGGGAAACACACACAAAAAATGCAGTTTTGGGCAAGATTGGGTGAATAGGGAGGGTGGGGTAGGGGAGTCTTGCTGTTTTTGGTCAAAAACTGCTGAACATTCAGTGCTTGTAAATCACCCATCGTGACAAGGGCCAAGTGTGCTGAAAGAGTCTCAAAAAAAAATTCACTGAAGCTGAACAAAGCCTTTGACAACAACACCAGCTGGTACACAGATACACATGGGTTCCTAGAACACTCACCTGGTGGGGGAAGCCTCTCCTACAAGGGACCCCCCTTCCAGCAGATAATTCCAGATTTTTTAGGATCTCCCTCATATAGTGGCAACTGATAAGAAAATTGTAAATGCTTGTTTTTCACTTTGTAGAATTACTTTTTTAAGGGGATAAATTATCAAACCAGAGTATGTTTTAACTTTGGTGATTAGTGTAAAAAGCATTGGATGAATAGATACATAATTATCCAAAATAAAGCCTTTGTAGAGTTGAAAATAGAACACTGGATTTTGTTTTTTTTTAATGCAATGGGCTATGCTTTTTGATACAATTTTATTTTTAATACCAAACAATCTCTCTTCTGTATTTAGGTTAGATTAGTGATAGTGGATGGCATTGCTTTTCCTTTTCGTCATGACCTTGATGACCTATCCCTTCGTACCCGATTACTAAATGGCCTAGCCCAGCAAATGATCAGCCTTGCAAATAATCACAGATTAGCCGTAAGTATAATTAGTCAAGATAATTTTATAATAAAATTAATAATATTGTCTCAAATATTAATTTCTAGAAATAGTGGAATAGAATTTGCCTGAATAAAAGCAAATAATATAGACAGTTTTAAATGTAGCTTTGTGTTGGTTTGGTTATTATAAAAAATTAATTCCAGTCATAAGTGTTATCAGTTTTCCTGGAAAATAATAGGCATAATCAAGATGCTGTATTTTAAAAATGGACTCGTATGAAGAAATGCCACCTTTGGTAATTACAGTGTTTTCTTCATCTAAATATACTTGATGTGTTTTAGGTAAGCTCTTCCAACACTCTGATTATTCTTTAACTCTGCATGTAATCATCGACTTAGAGGGATAGGAAAATTACATAGTGTAAACAGCCAAGATGTTTGGAGGTAGAGTTAACTCTTCTAGATTTGAAATATGAGGAGAGAGGTAAAGATGAGTTCAAAAGTGAAGAGACAAAAAGGAGGTAAAAACTTTTTCTTTTTCACTGCCTGTTTGCCAGCACTTTCCACTCTGCAACCCTATCCCACTACCGACGCACTTGTCTGTGAGAGAGATGAGAGGTTAAACTGCTTAACTCGATTTTCTTTATCCTGACTCCTTAGCACATGTCTGTAATATGTCATAAGTACATAAAGAATTTCTTGATAAGATCATTTCAAGATACACATTTTTTTCTTTTGAGTAATTAGATTTTTTTTGCCATGTACTGAAAAACATAGTGTCCTGTCTTTGAATTATTTCTTGCCATTTATTTGTAATTTTATGCATTGTTAGTGTCAATGAAGAGCCCCCCAGTAGGGGGCACTCAAGACTACTAATTCCTCAGGTTTTTGTTTTTAACAGAAATAGCTTTATCTTTTCTGCTTAAAAAAAATTAAATAAAAGTAGTCCAAACAATAACACAGACTACTATGCAGTATTTAAGGAGAGTAATGTAAATGTATGCCTACTAACGTGGAACAAGATATGTTCAGATATATGATTAGGTGAAAAAATTCAAGTTGCATAAAAGTATATTTCATAGGTCCACTTTTGAGAAAAATAAAAATTATATGTGAGCATTTATATTTATACCTATGAAGAAAAATATCAAAAGAACCAGAGCATTAACAGTGGTTACTTCTGGAGAGAGGATTTTGTGAGGTTTAGTACATTCTTTCCTCTCTTACTTTAAAAGTTCTTCTTTGCTTGATTTTTCATTTCCTGATTAGCAGGAACATGAGGTATTAGCAGGTATAGAAACATATATGATCTATGATGATAAATACAATTTACAATTTTAAGTTATGTGCTTGCTGTAAAAAGTTCTTAACCAACAAAATTTAGAGAATAAGCAATTATCTATTATCTGGAGATGATTTTTGGTGAGCTTGGTATACAGATTTTCCCAGACTTACTTTATGCATAAATAAACATGTTTTTAAAGTAAGATCATATTACACATGCTATTATGCAAAGCACTGTTTTGTTCACTTAATATGTTGTGAACATCTTTCCATATATACTATCTTAACAGCTACATCGTATTTTGTTGTATGATTGTAGAAGTTTTTAAAAACACTTCCTTATTGATTGTCTTTTATGTTAACTCCAGTTTTTCACCATTTATAGCACTGCAATCAGCCCTGGCTGCTGTGCCTCAGTGGATTGAGTGTCAGCCATCCATCCAAAGGATCCCTGATTTGATTCCCAGCAGGGCATATACCTGCATTGTGACCAGGTCCCCAGTTGGGGGCGTGCAGGAGGCAACCAATCTATCTTTCTCTCACACACTGATATTTCTCTTCTTTTTCTCCCTTTTACCCCTTCTCTCTAAAAATAAGTAAATAAAATCCTAAAAAATAAAAATAAAAAAACAGTGATCAATAACTTTATATATACTTCTTTGTCCATTCTACCAGTTATTTCTGAAAAAGTCAAAGGGATAGCTCTATTTTAAATATTTTGTTATATATTGTCAAATTACCCTCAAAAAGCATGTTCCAAAGTATGTTTTCAATAGCAATGAATGGGAATTCTTGTTTTTTCCAAGTCTTTACCAACTTTGATTCTTGTAAATTTTTGCCAAAGTGATGTGGAGGGAGTCCTTTTAGAGATGCATTTATTTGATTAGTAGCCGAAATGCTTGACAATTTTATTCAGATAATTAACATACCATAAAACTCACCCTTTTAAAGTGTAGAGTTCAGTGGTTTTTGGTATATCCAGAGTTGTGCAAATATCACTATTATCTGATTTTAGAACATTTCCATCATCTCCAAAAGGAATCCCTTTCCCATTAGCTGTCACTCCCCATTGCACTCTCCCTGTCTGTTTTTTTTTTAACTTTTTATTATTTTTTTTAACTTTTTTTTTGTTGTTCAAATACACTTGTCTCCATTTTCCTGCCACCACTTTCCCCTGCCTCACCCACCCTCAATCCTTCTGCTCTCTGGCTTTGTCCATGGGTCCTTTATACATGTTCCTTGATTTGACCCTTCCCTGTTTTTTCCTTGTTATCCCCCTCCCTCATTCCCTCTTGTTACTGTTGGTTTCTTTTTTCTTTCAATATTGCTGGTTATATTTTCCTTGCTAGTTTGTTTTGTTGATTAGGTTCCACTTATAGGTGAGATCATATGGTATTTGTCTTAATTCATTTAGCATAATGTTCTCCAGTTCCCTCCATGCTGTTGAGAAGGGTAGTAGCTCTTTCTTTCTGCTTTGTAGTATTCCATTGTGTAAATATACCATAGTTTTTTGATCCACTCATTTCTTGATGGGCACTTAGGTTGCTTCCAGCACTTGGCTATTTTGTGCTCCTGTGAATATTGGGGTGTATAGGTTCTTTTGAATTTGTGTTTTGGGATTCTTAGGGTATAATCCCAGCAGTGGAGTCGCTGGGTCAAAAGGCAGTTCAATTTTTAGCTTTTTAAGGAAATTCCAAACTGTTTTCCATAGTGGCTGCACCAGTCTACATTCCCACCAACAGTGTACTAGGCTTCCCTTTTCTCCACAACCTCGCCAGCACTTACTGTTTGTTGATTTGTTTATGATGGCCATTCTGACCAATGTGAAGTGGTATCTCATTGTGGTTTTAATTTGCATCTCTCTGATGGCTGGTGATGCTGAGCATCTTTTCATATGTCTCTGTGACCTCTGTATATCCTTCTTGGAGAAGTGTCTCTTCAGGTCCTTTGCCCATTTTTTAACTGGATTGTTTCTCTTCTGGAGTGGAGTCATGTGAGTTCTTTATATATTTTGGAGATAAAACCTCTGTCCAATATATCATTGGCAAATATATTTTCCCATATGGTTGGTTCTCTGTTCATTTTGCTGATGTTTTCTTTAGTTGTGCAGAAGCGTCTTTCTTTGATGAAGTCCCATTTGTTTATTCTCTCCTTTATCTCCCTTGTTCTAGGGGACACATTGGTGAAAATATTGCTGCGTGGAATATCTGAGAGTTTCCTGCCTATGTTCTCCTCTAGGACTTTTATGGTGTCACAACTTACATTTAAGTCTTTTATTCGCCTTGAGTTTATTTTTGTGTATGGTGTAAGTTGGTGGTCGAATTTCAATTTTTTGCATGTAGCTGTCCAGCTCTCCCAAAACCATTTGTTGAAGACGCTAATTTTATTCCATTTTATGCTTCTGCCCCCTTTGTTGAATATTAATTGACCATATTAATATTCCCTGTCCGCTTTTTGTCTCTATGGATTTGTCTTTTCTGGATATTTTCTACAGATGGAATAATGCAATATGTGGTCTTTCATGTCTGGCTTCTTTTATTTAGCATAATGTTTTCAAGATTCATCCATATGTGGCACGTATCAGTTCCCTTTTTATGACCAAATACTTTTGTATTTTCTCAATATTCTACATTTGTTAATCTGTTCATCAATGATGGACCTTTGGGTGGCAGAGTATTTTTAAAGCAATAAAGTTAATTTCAAAGTGATTGTTTCTTCACTATTTTAAAGACTCATTCTGTAGACGCTTAGAGTAATTACCCAATAATTTTCATTTGGTTCCTGGTAAACCCAACATTTTTGCAGAAGTAGTGTAATTTTATAAATATTTGCTAACAGTGCAAATTCTAATTTGGGGATATTGAACAGATGGTAAGCAGTATGTTTATTTACATTTTCCTCAAGATATGGATAAACTACTCCCTAAACCTGTCTGATACAACTTTCTGCAAAGAAGAGAATGCTCAGTTTAATACAGTCGTTATGTGGCTCTTGAGCAGCTGAAATATGGCTAGTAGTGAGAAACTGAATTTTTAGTTTTATAATTTAATTTTAAAAAGCTATTTGTGGCTAATGGCTGCAGAATTGGATAGTGCACCTCTAACAAGAAAGTGTTAGTATAAGTAATTATCTCTCAATTGCTACAACTTAAACACTTGGTAGTATGTACAATAAAGGGTATTTATATTATTCAACATGTTGGGGATGCCAGTCAGTCATATATTTCAGTTAATTACCAATTTAAATTCCTTCTTAGCTTGTCCTAAGATTCCTGGCCTGAGGTAACACATGGGGAAGCCACTATAACACTTAAGGAGAGAGGAACTAGAAGAAAGACATGTCATCCAGTTGGTGCATAATTGAGATCTAGATGGATCACATATTCTTTGTAGATAAATAAAAATTTTAGGATGTTACCACTGTGGTGGGAATAGATGAATAGTCTTTTCTTTCTCAATTTCCTTGTGAAACGGATGGCTTTCAAAGTAGATACCTTTTCTCATTGCTTTTCATAGAAGTTCTTTATCAGTGACAGTTTGCAATAATATCTGGAGGGAAGATCTGTATTGGAAGAATATTTAAAACAATGATGTCTGGAGAATTTTGGATAAAACACTGCCAGATAATCTAACTTTTACTGTATTAGGTCAGCCTTAAACACTTTTGTTTTCTCAAGTTTAAAATTACTACTGTCAAAACATGGGATCTTTTCTATAGGCCACTATTTAATCCAAAAGAATTAGCAATATTTTTAGCCTCTTTAGAGCATCTGTAATTAAAGCACACCTGTATCTATTATCAGCAGACTAACATAGTCATAATTTTGGGCCATTTGACCTGATTACTGGGTTTCATTTTTTCCTAGTTCTACTTATACTGTACATTCTTTGATTTTTGCTCTCTTCTCATAATTCCTTGCCTTAGTTTCTTTTTTACTTCTGTAAAATCATAAATCATAATTCTGTATTTGTTTCTTCCCTAAAATATAAGTATTGAATTATTTATCAAGGATTTCTGCAAAGAGGAGAATCCTTGAATATATCCTTTTGAATAAATATATTCCAGAGAGACAACAGTGCTAAAGAACACAGATTCAGTCTTTCTAAGCTTTTGTTTTCTCATGTGTTAGACTGGAATTATAGCAGTAATAATACTTCATTCATAGAGTAACTGTGGAGATTAGCCAAGACAATGAAGGTAAAGCACTTAGCATAGTTTCTGGCATGTATTAAGTGCTGAAAAATGTTTATTACCACTACTGATGTAGCTGCTGTTGGACTGGTGGTTCCTATTGGCTTATACAAAACAATTTTAAAAGTGAGGATTTTTCTGATTCTCCCAGGTGTAAAGTTTCTGTGCATGGTCTCTTTAAACCTTTATGTGTTATCTATTATATTTTTATTCTTCCACTAAAAAAATTCCCTCCCTCCCTCCCTCCCTTCCTCCCTTCCTTCCAGAAAAGTAGGGAGAAGAGCATTGATGTGAGAGAGAAACATCAATTGGTTGCCTCTCGAACTCTACTGGACCCACAACCCAGGCATGTGCCCTGACTGGGGATGGAACTGGCAACCTTTGCTTTGTGGGACATCGCCCAGACAACTGAACTGCCCCAGTCCGGGCCATACTTCCATTTTAATAATAAGAATTTCTTTGTTCTTATCTGTTAAAAAATTATTTTATGTTCAGTAGACTCATGTTTTCAGATAACTACTCGTTTTTATGGGTAAGTTTTAAAAAAATTATTAGAAGAGTTTTCATTACCTAAATATGTCTTTTAATTAGATTGTATTCAGGATACTACTTACTTGATAAATTTTAGAGGAGACTCATCTAATTTCTCACACTTTGTTTTGTAGGTAATTTTAACTAATCAGATGACAACAAAGATTGATAGAAATGAGGCCTCTCTGATACCAGCATTGGGTGGGTAATAAATCAGATAAACATTTTTGGTTAAACACATTTTCTCTCCCTCTTTTCATTTGATGCTTATTGAGTACTGTAAACTTCATGAAAACAGAGTTTATGTGTCTTATTCACTGATAAATCATAGCATGGAACACTGTGCACTTAGATACTGACTCATCCTTTCAGTTAAACATTAGTTCAGCATTTACAATATAGCAACTGCTGGGTCAGGTACTGAGCATATAATGCTCATATGATGATTCGTACCTTCAGAAAGCTCACTGTCTTAGGCAGGAGGAAGGGTGATTCAAATACAAATTATACTACAGTGAATAAATTTATGATTTTGTTCCTAAACTCAGTCATGGTTTTGTTAGAATACAATGTTTCAAGATTTATTTCAACTAAAATCTTTAAGAATATTCTGTCAGAGTTCTTGCTTTTTATCTGATAGAAATATGTTAGTAGTCCTGATAGATGGAAGATTGACAAATATGTTAAACTATAAAGTTTTCTAAAAGCAAATAGAAGATACTGATCTTCAGTATTGCCTTAGATATGTAAAAATCCATTAATTTCAGGATGTTATCCACATACCAAGTTTCTAAAAACCAAGTATACTCTTGTTATGTTAAATTAAGAAAAGTAAAACTGTATGTGATCTGATGCATTCTGAGAGACTTACAACCTAGTCAGTAAGGCAACATGTAATTATTATGTTCTTTTTCCCTCAGGGGAAAGTTGGGGACATGCTGCGACAATACGGCTGATCTTTCATTGGGATCAAAAGCAAAGGTCAGTGTAGAAACAAGTTAATAATTCTGAATATTGGGTTAATAATACTGCACACTTACCAGTTTCTAATAGTCCAGTGGATAAAATCTATAGTGCAAACATAGAAGCATGCTTTTATCTGCACGTTTAGCTACATAGGAAATTCTTTGGAATATTTAAATGATGGGGTGCACCTGAAATGAGTAGGTGTCCAAGGAATGCTACCTTCTAAAGCTCTTAGAAAATCAAATACCATTTATTAGCCATGCAGAAGGAGGTGGGTACTCTGTTCCTGGAAGGGGTTGAAAGGAAAATAAAATCAGGACTAAAGGTTAGCTTTAGCACTAATTTATATGGAAAATAGGTTGGTTCTTCCTAGTTGCTTAATATATTTCTTGTATGAAATTATGTCTACTTTTGTTTTCTCTTGTATTTTTCTATCTTGCATTTGTTATCCACTCACCTGACTTTCACTGGTATTGTTTTTTAAAATAAAACTATGACAGCATGAAACCTTTGTATTTGTTTTTAAAGCTGCTGAGCAAGTGAACAAACGAGCTTTTATTTTCTTTAAAATAGGCAATTGAAAGCTGCAGAATCTTTTCTTCTACACTTCTAGAAATGTCAGACTTATGCCAGCCTCTCTGCTTTGAGATGAATTGGTATAACCTAGAGCACTTGGTTTTGAAATGCTCTAATAAAAGGGAGAAATTGAGACAGTGTGTGGGCAACGATAGAAAAAGGGGTTACTTAAATACATATTGGGTCTGGTCAGTGACATTGTCTTTTTCTTGTCTGCATTTCTTTGTTCTTCTACAAAATGAAAAAATCATGCCTCATCAAGTTAGATTTTACTGACTCTGAGCTCATAGCAGAACCAATCACACATACGTCTTTTGCAACTAATTCATGCAGTTTGTGTCTCTTTTAAAGATGGCTTTTCCAGAGCTCAGGTGACTTTTCTTTTTCTATAATACATAGTGCTTTACAATTGACTCCCATCCCCCAATTCTGTAAATAAGTCACTGTACAGTGGATTCACAAAAAATTTTTTTCTTAGTAACAAACCCAATTGTAAAGATTTGGCAATTTCTTCAGATGATTCTTTTGAACATACTGGTTATACTTTCCCAGATTTAGATTTTCTGCAAAATGCATCCCACTAATGATCTTAGGAATTTCCCTTGAGCTAGTATACAGTAATAGTTTTCTACTGTTGTTCTATTAACTATTCACTGGTGGAATACATTGAAGAAATGAGGAAAATAATAGGAGCAGAGCAAGGTGTTTCATCTTTTTATGCATTGATCAGAAGGACAAATTTGCTTCTTTTACAAATTCTCTACATTAGCATTAGTTAGGTACCTATGAGGTCAGAGAATCATGCTTAATTTTTAAGAGTTAACCATTTTATGACTTCAGCTTACTAGTTTTTTCTAAGAAATTAGAGAATAATGTAGAGCAGTAAATAGATTTAAAAGAACTGTCCTATGAACATTTTATTCTATCCCATGCTCTCATTTTAGTGAGTGCTTGTTTGTGCTAGGTATTTAACTGGGCACTTTATGTTACATTTTATATTATATTTTCTTTATGTAACATTTTATATTATCCCTTCAATAACTCTGAAGAATCTATACCTGTTATGAACAGTGAGAATACCAAAGCCCAGGAGATTAACTGACTAGTAAATAATAGCTACCATTTTTTTTAAAGATTTTTGATTTTCATTTATTTACTTTTAGAGGGAGGGGAAGGAGGAAGAAAGAGAAGGAGAGAAACATCATTGTGAGACTTTGGTTCTCTCACACACCCCCAACCAGAGACCCATCCTGCAACCCACGCATGGGCCCTGACCAGGAGCAAACTGGCAATCCCTTGGTTCACAGGCCAGTGCTCAATCCACTTGAGCCACACTAGCCAGGGCTAATAGTTATCATTCTTGAATATTTATTAACTACCTTTTATTATGCTAAGAGCACTGTGTGTGTATAAAATTTCATTTTATTTTCCAAATAACTCTATGAAATAGGTAGTAGTATCCATATTTTATAGCTGACTATATTTAATAGAGTCCATTCTTTTTCTCCTATAATTGCTGTTTCTAGAATGTAATTCTAGTATTGTGTTGATTTCCAGCAAATCTGAAGTTATAGCTCTTATCCTTCTTTTAAGGTAAAATCCTTTTTCTCCAAACTGTTTTTTTCCCCAGGCTATGGATCTGTGATAAGTAATGTGCACACTTTATTATACCCAGAAGAAGTTGACCTCATTTAATAGAATTAAAAGGTTTTTTTTTTTTTATTGTTTGAAACCAGCTATCTTCAAGTCATTAAAGTTGCATGATATCTTGTATGTGTTTTAAATTTTAGTTTATCTTGAAAGAATGGAAATAGAAATTCACACTGGGGAAAAACTGTTATGAAAATGAACATTTTCAGTTTGAGCAGAAAACTAAAAACTTTGTTTTTAGTATAGCTATATATTTGTGTGTATGTATGTGTGTATTTGAATTTAAGTATCCTATCCCATGACCCAGTCCCCATCCTTCACCAACAACTGATTTTTACCCTTTGACTAATAATGGAATAACATTCTTAGTTATTAAAAGAAATACTTTTATCTCTATCCAGTATATTGTACAGGTTTTCCTTCAATTTACATATTCATGATAATATGAGACTGAGATTGTTCAAAATTATACCACTCTTTGCCAAGAAGATCTGGTGGTAGAAGTGGAGTAATATTGCAACACCCCCGCATAGTGTTTCATATGTGTACTCAGCTTCAGAGCACAAATTGTGCTTCTGCCTTGTTTCCTTCTGACCTAATCTATGTAGTTCAGCCATATGTTAAGCTTCATTTCAGTTGGGGCCATGAGCCAAGTGAGTCTTTGTTTTAAGTTGTTGTTTGAAATGATCTCCGGAGATGCAGATGTAAAATACACAATTTTATTTTTACATGGAAATTTAAGGAAGATTTTCAACCTGAACACTTAATGTGCATTTGACTTTAGGGTTCTTAATGAGCAGGTAAATCCTTCTTTAAAGCTTGCTTGCTTGCTTATTTATTTTTTTATTTTTAGAAAAGTCAGAAGAACTAGGTCCTTTTTTGAACATGGCATTTGATACTAATTTTTCAGGTTAGCTAATTTTTGTTATATTGAATCTCAAAGAGAGATCTTTTAATAAGGTGGGTTAAAATAGATGATGCTTCTATTTTTCGGTTCTGTCTTATATTAAAGATGGGATATCAACTCTAAAAGCATTGTAAAAATTTATACTCACTCCCTATCACAACTATTCTTATATATTACTTACCAGTTATTTTTTTTATGCTTACAGTTACAATTATAGAGTAAATGACATTTTGGATTCTGCTGTTCCATCCTTGAAAGTACAAACCTATAACATTGAGCTAATGGACCATGATCTCTGACTGCTTCTCTTTTGAATTGTGCCTGAGTAGAGAGACACTATCAAAATTAATAAATATAAACCAAGATGTCCTTTTTGAGTTGTCTTTGAAAACAAGTCAACATTATATTATATATAAATAAATGATCCTTTTAATTCTGAGAGTTTACTGTTTTTCTCTAAGTGTAGTTATATCAGTTTTTTTAAATTGTGGTAAAGTATACATAGCATAAACCTTACCATTTTAACCATTTAAATGTACAGTTCAGAGACATGAAGTATATTCACATTATTGCATAATCACCACCACCATCCATCTCCAGAACTTTTTCATTGTCCTACACTGAAACTTTGTACCCATTAAACACTAGTTCTCCATTCTCCCCTCCCAACAGCCCATAGCAACCACCATTCTACTTCTGATACCATTCTACTTCTGTCTCTATGAATTTGACTACTCTAGGTACCTCAAATAAGTGGAGTCATACAAAATTTGTCCTATTGCGATTGAAGTTATTTCACTTAGCACAATGTCTTCAAGATTTACTGTAACCTGCACTAAAATGTCTTTCCTTTCTAAGACTGAATAATATTCCATTCTATGTATATGTCACATTTTATTTATACATTCATCTGTTAAGACACTTGGATTGCTTCTAGCTTTTGGCTATTGTGAGTAAGTGATATCACTTTTAAATGTAATTTTAAAAGGCACTTTAAAAGTTTTTGCTTATATTTGTTGCTCTTACAGTATTTGAGCAAAGTAAGAGCTTAGAATTTTATTTTTCAACTCCTTTCAGCTTTAGTTTTATGTTATTTACTTTGTTGAGTACATAATGAAATCCTGCCTAAACGATCTTGTTCTGTCATGACAGTGATATTTCTGGACATAATTATTTTGAAAGAATGTGTCTTGCTAGCTTATTTGTATTAGTATATTATGAGTGTATGTTCCTTATATATATCTGAAGAAATTGTCTTAATACTTACAACACCCTCAAAAAACCACCAATACTGCAGAAAGTTTGAAGAATAAACAAAAAAAAACCCTTTTAACTTAAAATAATATGACTTTTGTATTCTAGTCTTCTAGTAATTTTTCTACGTATGTGTATATGCATATTCATTAATGTGGGATCATACAGCATAACTTTTATATTATTATTATTTTCCTATCTAAGTATTTTCGTGCACTATATTTTTTTAAGCATAAATAGTATCTTGTCATGTACAAAAGTTTATTTCATCAATTTTCAACCTTTTTCAGCTCATGTCACACATAAACTAATTACTAAAATTCTGCAACATCAAAATACATTTTTTGCTGATCTGATGAAAAAAAGAGGTATACTTTTGATTCATTCACACCAGATGGCTATTGTTGTATTGGCTGTTGTTATTTATTTGGCAGTCTAAGGGAAAAGAAGTCAGTGCCCCTGACTAAATAAAGAGGTATTACATGTTTTAAAAATTCTGTGGCACACTGATCGAAAATTGCTGCTTTATTTGAATCAATCATTGGACTTTTAGGTTGCTTTAAAATTTCACTTATATAATTAAGTCTTTTGTTAATATATGTAATAATCGTTGCATGCATACATGTAGCTAATGTTTGAAAGGAGTACTTCTGCTTTTTTTTTTGCTTTCTGTGTCCTTAGAACAAAATAATAGAATTATATTAAAAAACTATAAATTTATATTATCAAATGATTATCTGAACTAATTTATTAAGATCATGCATTTGTGTATATTTTTTTTTCTCTAAGCAGGTTGGCAACATTGTACAAATCACCAAGCCAGAAGGAATCTACAGTACTGTTTCAAATCACAGTCAGTATTACTTGATTAGAGTGTGATTTTGGTGTTGGTGGGCAATAATTATCTAAAGAAAGTATTTATAAATTGCTTCTGTTAACTTCTGTAGGCAGCAAACCAATTTGAGGACAGCTTTTGATACTTAGAATTATCCCCCAAAATATCACCCCCCCCACACACACACTATACTAGTCACAGTTGGACTGAAATGTATTTTTAAGAACTGAGGAAATAGTTATTTGTAGGGTAGTGTGTTCCATGCCATGAGTAAAATCAGGATATTGAATATTTCTTTTTTAAAGATTTTATTTATTTTCAGAGAATGGGGAAGGCAGAGAGAAAGAGAGAGGGAAACATCAATGTGTGATTCTTATGTGCCCCCTAATGGGGACCTGGCCGGCAACCCAGGCATGTGCCCTAACTGGAAATCAAACCGGTGACCCTTTGGTTTGCAGGCCAGCACTCAATCCACTAAGCCACACCAGTCAGGGCAGGGTATTAAATATTTTTAAGATGAAAGTTAAAGATTTTCATGAGACAAACTACCAATCATACTCATTTTGGTCAGTAGATATTAGAGTTCTGTCATAGCCACCAAATATATCCCACTTTAAAATGTTAATTTTCCTATAACTGTACATCATAGAACATACATTTTTGACTGAAATAGCATATTTATTAATAGTTTTTAGCCAAATATATTTTTGGCATCTCGTATTTTAAGGACAGAAACAGATTCTGAAACTGAACTATCTACTTAGTCTTTGCTCTGCCTAGGTACATTCGAAGTATTCTAATTGGAAAACTTTAATTTAAATTATTTAATTGCGAAAATAAGTTTGTGAAACACCTAGGTAATTATTACATGTTATTTCCTGTCACCTATTCCAGTAGTGTCACCATGAAGTTTGTTAGGGTTTTCTTTTAGAGAACATATTTATAATGCGATGTTATTTCTGTGTGTATGTGTATGTATAAATAAACATAAAATACTGTAAATATAAAATGCTTTAGTACAGCCTTGGCTTGGACATTTATCCTCTTCCTTCACAGTGGTTGATAACTTCTATTCCAAGAATAAAGTAGCTCTCTTATCAATTACTTAAAATGTTCAGAAGACCAATCATTTTAGATGTTCTTAAAGCATACTTGCATATTTTTTCATCTTGCAGCATCAGGGATTTAGAGATGCTGTTGTTACCCCTGCATCTTCAGTGCAAACAGAAGATTCATTGAATTCTCGGAAACGGTCACGAGAATCAGAGGAAGAACAGGAATCCAAATACTAGTCTGAGAGAGAGAGAGAGAGAGAGAGAGAATATGTATGAGGTCTATCCGAAAAAAAGTCCCATTGTTAATCTAATGAGAATGGTTTGCATGACATCCTTGTAACCTGGCAGCCAAGGAGAGTGGACTGGAATGAGCATATGTGAACAATGACAACTTCAGTGTACTAGTCAGTGAGGGCAGTAGATGCCATTGACTGAGCGTGTGTACAGCATGGCTGTTGCATTAAAAATAACTGAATGAGTAGAGCAACAGATCTGCATCAAATTTTGTATTAAGCTTGAACATTCTTCTGCGGAAACTACTTGGATGGTTCAGAAGGCTTTCGGGGATGATGCAATGAGTGCAGTGCAAGTAAAAGTGTGGCACAAATGCTTCAAAGTTGGTCGAGAATCTGTTGAAAGTGATCCACGTTCTGGAAGCCTGCAACCAGAAGAACACCTGAGAATGTTGAGTGTGTAGGGGATGCAGTCCACGAAGACGGGTGATCTAGGTGACTCAGCCTCCCTACAGCCCAGATTTAGTGCCCTGCAACTTCTGGATTTTCCCAAAACTAAAATCACCTTTGAAAGGGAAGAGATTTCAGACTGTTGATGAGATTCAGGAAAATATGATGGGGCAGTTGAGGTCGATTCCAACAAAGGATTTTGTGGAGTGTTTTGAACAGTGGAAGAGATGCTGGGAGAGCTATGTGAGGTCCCAAGGTGCCTACTTTGACAGGGACTGAGGCATCAATTTTCCTGTGTACAATGTTTCTTGTATCTTCAATAAATGTGTCTATTTTCATAGTGTGTGGCTGGGTACTTTGTGGACATACCTCGATATGTATTGATTCTGTGAGATGCAATATATACAAGTAGTAGACTCATTTATTTAAAATATAAATACACATGATGGCATAAATGAATCAGGAATATCACAAATGAACTATATATATACTTAATATGATTATCTGAAGGTTCTTCAAAAGCAGTGTTCTGTTTTAATTTTTAGTAACATTCAGTAAGGATGATATAGGTATTAAATTTTGCAAATGTGGAAAGCTGATCTCATGTGACCAATCAGGCTGTTTTTTTCTCTCTGCTAATTGCCTAGGAAAAGTTTGTGGGTTTTTTTACATTCCTTTTGTGTTCTCCTTAAATGTAGCTTTGATAATTTTTAAATGACCCATTTTATTGTTATAAAGGAAATCTAGCACACTGAGTCAGCATATCATTATATGCAGTTTTATGGGTAGGATACACATTTAGATGACCAATCTGATTTTAGTGACCTCAATTCTAAAATCTAAACCATTTGTTTATTTATAATTTTTTTTAGTATTTAAAAAAATTCTTACCTGAGGATATATTTATTGATTTTATAGGGAGAAAGGGAGAGAAAAACAATGATGTGAGAGAAAGATACTGATTGGTTGCCTCCCACACATGCCCTGATGGGATCAATCCCACAACCTTTTGGTGTACAGGATGATGCTCCAAACAATGGAGCCACCCGACCAGGGCTATTTTTAATTTATTTTCTAATGTTAGAAGAAGGACTTTGGAACTGTTATTTCATTTAGAAATTGAGACATATATCTTCCAGACTAGTCAAGTCAGTAAGCTCACAGGTAATTATTTTTACATTTTTGAAAAACAGTGTTATTCATTCTAGAATTCTAGGTATATCTACATTTTCTTTTGAATAATCTCAACACTGCTTAAATAAATTAAAAATTTGGATTGAGTGGTTTAAAAGTAATCTAAAAATGGTTCTGGCTGGTGTGGCTCAGTGGATTGAGTGCCAGCTGTGAACTAAAGGGTTGTCAGATTGCCAGCCAGGGCACATGCCTGGGTTGAGGGCCAGGTCCCCAGTGCGGGGCATGAGAGGTAACCACACATTGATGTTTCTCTCCCTCTTTCCCTCTCTCGAAAAATAAATTAATAAAATCTTTAAAAATAATAATCTAAAAAAGTTTCAGCACCTGGTTCTTCTTAGTATTCCTTAATTCATATACAAAATTTACTTTGGTTCCTGGTGGAAGAAAATTATTTAAGTAATTATTATATACTATGATAACCATATTTTCTGCCCCAGACTGAACACTAAATTTATAAAATTCAAAATATGCATATAATTACTATGTAATTGACTATGCATAGAAATAACCACAGTTTTTCAGGACTTCTTGAGAAAGTAGGCATTGCTAACAATTACGCCACGGCAGTGGACATAAACCAGGATTCTTCTGAGCAAATCAGGCATATAGTTATCCTAATTATATAACACCAATTTTAAGTGATTAATGTAGGGTTGCTGTAACTTATTTGTTAGGGTTTTAATGCGTATGTTGTTATAATTAGTACAGTTATAAAAAAGTACTCATCATTTTATATTCAGTTTGCTCTAATCATAAATTTGAGGGTATGGGTTGTAACTGATGAGTATCAGTTTTACCAGGCATTATGTATGGTAGGATCTCATAAAGAATTTTTAAAAACTATTGGACCCTGGGTATAGATGAAGTCCAATGTATTTGTTTGCAATTCTTGTTGCTATTACTGGAAAGATACTTATGTTTTAGTTATAACAACAATCAAATCTTAGTTTGCTTGGGTTGCAGTAATAAAAATGCATAGAATTAAAACAGAATTTTCTCACAGTATTAGAGCCTAGAAGTCTGAAATCAGCATGCCTGCCATCATGGTCTGGTTCTGGTGAGAACTCTCTTCCTCGTAGACAGCTGCCTTCTCTTTGGGTGCTCGTGAGACCTTGGTGAATGCTCATGGACAGAGATTTTTCTCCATCATCTTACAAATTCACCAATCCTATCAGTTTAGGACTCCACCATATGATCTTATTCAACGTTACCTCCTAAAAGCCCTGCCCTATCCAGATACAGTCATATTTGAGGTTAGAGTTTCAACAGAGGGATTTTGGGAGGACACAATACAGTCCAGAGCATTCTGGTCCTGGCCCTCAAAATTCATGTCCTCACATGCAAAATACACATTCCATCCCAACCATTCCAAAACTCAATTCATTCCAAAGTCCAAAGACTCATTTTAAGTATCCTCCAAGTCAGATAATGACTGAGATTCAAGGTACAATTCCTCTCCAGATGTGAACTTGTGAAACCAGACAAGTGTTTTCAAACTACAATGGTGGGAGAAGCATAGAGTAGACGGTCCCCTTCTAAAAGGGAGAAATCAGAAAGAAGAAAGGGGTGATGGGTTCCAAGTAAGTTCAAAATCTAACAAGGCAAAATTTTATTAGATCTTAAGGCTCAACAATAATGCTCTTTGGTTTAATATTCTGCCTTCCAGTTCCAATGGGTGGCAGCATCAACGCCACAGCTTTAGGCTGGGGTTTCCTAAGGCTCTGCCGGGAGGCCTAGCCCTGAAACCTCTGGCAGAGGCTGTGTGGCCTCTTGAAACTGAGGCAGTAGCTCTGATGATTTTTTGAATTGCCTTTGGGTCATTTTTCCTTCTTGAAGAATAGCTTATGTTTGCAACTAAATATCTCTACAGTCCTGTCAGATCTAAGAAGTCCAACAGCCTTTCTTCAGTTTGTCCTATCTCTGTCTACTTCAGTTTTCAAACTGGCAATCTTTCTGCTCATATTATTCCATAAACTATAGAGTGGTGGTCCAGCCATACGTGTGACGTTCTCTTCAGAATATGGTATCTAATTTTTTGCTGAAATTGTATGAATAGGCTGAAATTTTTCCATTTTGTTTAAAAAATCTTTTCTCAATTCACACCTCCTTTTGCATTTTACTATAAGTAGTCAGGAGGAACCAAGCCAGTCCTTCAGTACTTTGTTTAGAAACCTCAGTTGAATATCTAGTTTCATCACTCACAAGTTCTGTCTTCCATAAAAGACTAGAAAACAGTTCAGCCCAGTTCTTTGCCACTTTAATAACAAGGATCACCTTTCTGCCAGTTCCCATTAGCATGTTCCCCCTTTCCGTCTGAGAACTCACCAAAATTTCTCTTAACATCTACATTTCTAACATGCATCTCCAAACTCTTCCAGCCTCCACCCATTACTCAGCTCTAATACCTCTTCCAACTTTTAGGTGTTTGTAATAGCAGTACTTCACTTCTCAGTACTAAAATCTGTCTTGGACTGCCATAACAAAATATAGATTAGTTGTCTTTTATTTTTAATATATATTTTATTGATTATGCTATTACAGTTGCCCCATTTTTTTCTCCCCTTTATTCCCCTCCCCCCTGCACTGCCCTCCCCCCAACCTCCTTAGTTCATGTCTATGGGTAGTACATAGAAGTTCTTTGGCTTCTCCATTTCCTATATTATTATTAATCTCCCTCTGCCTATTTTGTTCCTACTATTTATGCTGCTCATTCCCTATACTTTTCCCCATGCTCCCCCCACCCCCTCCCCTCTGGTCCCCATTTCTGTGATTCTGTTCCTGTTCTAGTTGTTTGCTTAGTTTGTTTTGTTTTAAGTTCAGTCGTTGATAGTTGTGAGTTTGTTATGATTTTACTGTTCATAATTTCTGGTCTTCATCTTTTTCTTAGATAAATCTCTAACATTTTATATAATAAGGGCTTGGTGATGATGAACTCCTTTAAACTTGACCTTGTCTGGGAAGCACTTTTCTGCCCTTCCATTCTAAATGATACCTTTGCTGGATAGACTAATCTTGGATGTAGGTCCTTGCCTTTCATGACTTTGAAAACTTCTTTCCAGCCCCTTCTTGCCTGCAAGGTTTCTTTTGAGAAATTAGCTGATAGTCTTATGGAAACTCCTTTGTAGGTTACTGTCTCCTTTACTCTTGCTGCTTTTAAGATTCTCTCCTTATCTTTAATCGTGGGTAATGTTATTATGATGTGCCTTAGTGTGTGCTTCCTTGGGTCCCACCTCTTTGGGACTCTCTGAGCTTCCTGGACTTCCTGGAAGTCTATCTCCTTGGCCAGATTGGGGAAGTTTTCCTTCATTATTTGTTCAAATAAGTTTCCAATTTCTTCTTCCTCTTCTTCTGGCAGCCCTATGATTTGGATGTTGGAATGTTTA